GATGATCTGGTCCTGGAGCCGTGGACGTCTTCATGGTCTGTATCGCGATACGCACTTCAGCAGGTAGAATTCGTGGTGGTACTTCTCCAGTGGGAACAACGGGCATCTGCACGGGTGTTGATGAGCGGAAGAGGTTGGTGTAGAAGTTCTTCGCGATAGATTCCATCTTGTATCGGGAAGAAGTCGGAGTCCCGTCTTCGTTCAGTAGTGCAGCCAGCGGTACGTGATATTCGCAGAGGTCCCTTCGGCACTTCTTGAGACTTCGTCTTCTTTCTGCTGCTTCCAGTATCTTGGCTTGCCTGTACTTCCTGAGATCCTCTTGCAAAGCTGTTCTGCAACTGGTGTTGGCAATCAGTCGCTCGAGATGAGTTGCATTCGGATCCTGCCTCAATGATCTTCTTCTTTCGAGCAATTCCTTGGTGGTCTTCGAGATGCGGTCCAAGTTCTTCTCAGAAGTCACTGAGGCGCATTCTCCGCAGGCTCGCAATCCTTTCAGAAGCCGGTCGTAGTCGTACGTTGGGTCCTCCTCGATGGGCCAGTCACAACTTGATATGAGCTCTTCCAGCCTGTTACCGTCATAAACGACTTCCTTCCTTCTCGCGGCACTATGACAGACTTTCTTTTCCAGCCTTCGGCTGAGTCGTATCTTCGCTCGAAGGAGGCGGTGATCGGAGCCACTACAGAAGGATGGAACTACGGAGACATCGAGTAAGCTCCACCTTCGGTTGGTGAGAATGTGGTCGATCTCCGCGTGGGTCGTTACGTTGGGCGATTCCCATGTCCACCGGCGATGTTCCTTCTTCATAAAGATGGAATTTCCATGAAAAAGTCGTGCGGCGGAGAGAAGCCCAACAAGACGGTTGCCGTTTTCGTTCCGGAGCCCATATCCAAACTTCCCGATCCTATATTCCCTTTCCAATGGCATCCCGATTTTCGCGTTGAAGTCGCCCACAACAAACTTGTAAAAGGACTTCTCGTTGCGGACGACCTCCTCCACATCTTCGTAGAAAGCATCTAGTTCTGATTCGTCAGCTGCTGATGTTGGAGAATAGCAGTTGATGATGCTGATGGTCTTCTGATGTGGAGGTCGTAGTCGTAGGATGCCTAGTCGAGGTGATAGGATCTCGTGCGAATCGACAAGATGGACGATAGATGGATGGACGACAAAGCCGACGCCTCCCACGTTTCGTGATGGAACCTTTTCACCACGAATGATGAGGGTCCCATCACTCATCTGTCGCACGTCCTTCTTCTTGGACTTCGTTTCCTGCAGAGCAATGATGTGGTAGTTGATGTGCTCTGCAGCGTCGAGAAGAGCGTGGAGGTCGGCGTTTGTGGAGACTGTCCTGGCGTTGTAAGTGCAGAGCATGAGGCAGTCTCCATGGCGTGTCGTCCGGGCAGACGTGTCGTTTTTGTCCAATCCGAAAGGCGCCCTGAGTACCCTGACATCGTTCTTGCTACCACCCGGCGCCGTAGGCGGGATCCGATGTACAGGGTTTTTTCTAAATCTTCTTGCTGTCTGAGTAATAAAATTTGTTCCCCTACAAGAGGTGGCTTACTAGGCCTACTCTTGATTTCCACGGGGTGATCGCTGACCCCGGGCTTGGAGCGAGGAGGGACCGCCTAGCGACCAGAAGAAGCCAGACGGCGGAGAATCTGGCGCGGCCAGTTCTTAGCTAGGCATCCGGCCGAAACCGGAACCGTCGAACTCCTTCACAGCTTGGGAGGCCCTACCAGAGTATACACTCGGCTGTGCATCGCAGTTCGACACCCAGTGTCACCCCCACGCCACGATGAGGCGACCGACCATTGTGGGGGCGTGTTTTATCATGACGGTCAAAGTGAACGTTACCAGAATACATGGCTCTCAGTGGCGTACCGAGGGGAGGGGGACGGGGGGGGGGGGGCGCGCCCCCCCCCCCCCGAGAATGGGTCGCGAAATTTTTGAAAGTTACTTACATGGGTTATAAAATTGTGCAAAAGACTTGTCTGCACTTGTAAATAATTAAAATAATTTTTAATATTTTTTAAACATTCAATTTAGCCTTATAAAAAAAAATTTTTCGGGGGCGTGGCTTTGGGGTTCTGGGGCCGCGAAAAATCCTGGGTACGCCACTGATGGCTCTATGTATCGAAGGTATGGTTTCACGTATTAACGTATGTCAGAAACAAAAGACTGTCTCACTGCCTATCAGTCTATTGGGACTTACAGAACATTTAGAATGTTTTTTTGCCTTAAAATTTACAGAAACAAAAGCTCTAAGAACATACCTGCCTTAGTTTATCCGAATCATATTACTTCAGCATCTTCAAAAAATTCTTTCTGTACAACATACTTGGCTCTATGAATCGTAAATGGATCCTTGGAAAAGCACCAATACTTTCTTTTTCAGAGCCGCGATGGTTACATCTCTTTCACTTTATGCCAACAAGCACAAAATCTTTCGCTACACGGCAAAACTATATGCAAAAAATCACTACGCGACAGAAATGTGTGCAAAAAATCACAAGTTCATTGTATTTAGTGTGCTCTGGGAGCATAAACCATGCGCGCCGGCTGAATTCGCGCTGGGTCATGGGGCGCGCTTTGCGCAGCTATGTGTAGATTTGAAGGCACCGTCCACCCAAATTGAGGTTGGTGAGATTGTGATACCTAGCAGCTGCGAGGCCCCCAACTGGATGATTGCCCAACTTGCGCTGCCTAAAGTTGCTTCCGAAGCGAGTTTGCTTCGGAAATCGCTTCAGATGACGTTCGCCACGTTGGCTCCTCCCCTTTCGGATGGGCGTGACGTTCGTCCCGCCCATCCATGCGCGTCCAACCAATCACCTTTCCGAAGAAATCGCTCTACGGGTTCTAAAACGGGGGTTTTTCGTGGTTTTCGCGGATTTCCGACTTGATATTCGGAATCAGGAGTATGAGAAGGCCCTGGGACGGCGAAACCATGGAGGTCGAAATTTTGGGTGGACGGTGCCTTTAAGCACGTGTGTAGACAGCTTTAGAGGGTATGGCTCATTCCATGCTTCCTTTGGCTAATGAATTGACGGGGTACAAGAGGGAGATCTCTTTTTGGCTACGCGCTCAAACTCAAAAAGAAATTTCGTCCTTCCCTTTCCCCGAAGAAAATTTCTCTCACTGCCATTGCTTCTCGTGTATTTATCCTTCTCTACTCTTTTCGGCTTCCGTGTTTCTCAATGCTTTTCTCTCTTGCAAATATCTGTCCGGTCATATTTACACTGGGTCATGGAGCCCTCTTCGCAACCATTTGCGACTATACGTACGAGTCAGGGTGTGTATGCGAAAATACCGTCGAGTTACTTACAACTGCTAGATATGCACATTTCAACGCGCGCGTATTTCGCGCCTGCTCCAAGATGCCACTTTCCAGTCATATCTCCTTCGCTTCCCTCATTTGGCTGGTTGTGGCGCGTACTGGTAGTTCGGACGAGTGCCGGCGAGTATCGGCGCGGTCTGAAGCACAAGATTATAGAAGTAAAACCTAAATCGAATCGTTACCGTAACCAAAGCAAGTCGTAAAGTTAAATGCGCTCCTCCGCAGTTACACACTGCACCATATTTCACGCCTAAAACCACAATTTCACGGGCATTTTGTTCGCGCAACCGACATGAGTTGCTGAAACTGAGATTTCAGATTTCCAAAATTTAGGTTCAGAAAGGAAATGATCGAATTGACGAGAAATTTGGGATTTAGATGTTTCCGAAGCTGCTCTATCCAAAATCAATAGTTCTTTTGCTCAAAAAATCATGAAACTGGGTTTTGAAATAAGTTTCAGAATATGAAGTCCAAAAGTCCAAGTTCGACCAATTTTCAATACAATGAAGGTTGTGGTCTGAATAATAAATTTGTGGTAAAATCAAGTCATAACAGAACTGGAATTCCATTCGTACAAACTCGAAGCATTACTGATTATCTGCTCAGATCACCAGATGTATTGAGAGATAATAAAAAGTGGCAGCTTGTAACAGAAAAGAAAAATTGAGCCTTAATAGATAAGGCATATGCGAAAGTCTTGGCGTGATAACTGACTGAATGGCTCCACAACAGCGTATGGGTTACACCCTCTATAGGTATGGTTGCGGCTGTCTTGCCTAAAGCAAATGTTCATATCGTTGAAAATGCCAGAGGGAAAACCACTGATGAACTCACATTCGCAATTTTGTTTCTGACATTTTCCATATTGAAGTATATATTATATATATCCATATCCATATTCCATTGAACTTTAGATTCGAATATTGTTTGAAAACCCAGTTTCATGATTTTTTGAGCAAAACAAATGGTGATTTTAAATAAAGCAGCTTCGGAAACATCTAAATCTCAATTTTTTCGTCAGTTCGATCATTTTCTTTACTGAACCTAAATTTTGGAAATTTGAAATCTCAGTTTCAGCAACTCATGTCGGTTGCGGGAACAAAATGCCCGTGAAGTTGTGGTTTTAGGCGTGAAATATGGTGCAGTGTGTAAATGCGGAGGCGCGCATTTAACTTTACGGCTTGCTTCGGCTACGGTAACGATTCGCTTTAGGTTTTACTTCTATAATCTTGTGTCTGAAGCCTGCCAAATAGAAGTATGTTCGTTCCTCCACCCTTTTTTATGGTCCGGGTACTTTTGCACATTCTAACGTCCCAATCGTGATTCTCGCCCTTTGGCTGTTTCGACTTACTGGCTGCGCTCCGACATGAGCATCAGTGCTATTTGTCAAATAAGCTCTTTACTGGGTGGAAACTGTCCACCCCTAATTCTGCTTTTTCGTATCTAAATTTCAATATAGTTACCGATACTTGACATTGCTCTTGATTCACAGTTCCGAAGATTGATTGGAAATCATGTTTCTGCTTTTGTTCTTTTCCTGCCCCACAAGGCAGGCGATATCTGCAACATTTTCATTATAAGTATGGACATCACTGAGTTTTTCTATGCTGTTCTTTGTATGCCCACATTCACGCACGTGTCTCTTCTTCCAACACTCTCGCTGCCGTTGTAATATTGATCAGTGGGTATATGCTACTAGAATCTATAGTAATGTTCTAGGAAAAGATTATGGATCGGCAGGAACTTACCCAACACACACCGTTTTACATACACGAGGACGACCATTCTCATCTTCACTTGGAGCAAGTGCCTAAACTAAAGCCCGTATCTTCCGTTCACAAAAGCGAGCAGCACCTACCTATCCCGCATCTTCTCGTTAGTCAAGACGAAGGTAAAATCTGAGTTCTTTGCCTTACTGCGGCTGGAGGAAGATATGTGGAAGTATATTCAGTCGCATTTTTAGCTCTGGCATTTTTTGAAGTGTTCCTTTCATTCTGAGCAGAGCTTGCACTGATCCTCTGAGCCGTTCTATCCAGCAGCACACTGTACTGATTTTTCAGCACATCCATCACTTAACAAAATAGTTTCTGGTCTCTTTCATATACAAGAAGCGCTGCGGACACCTCACTCTTCTTGTGGAGATCTAGAGGTATGTTAATATCTTGAACTCGCTTAATGAAAGCTTTTTTGCCAAGCGATCATGAGACACTCTAAGTCATTTGAATGCGAAGCAAAGTTTTTTTGGCAACTTCTCGCAGTTTCATAATTGAGTTTAGTTTTTGGTTAGTTTTTAGTTTTTTATTCAGTTTACCACAATCATTCAGTTTAGGTACTCCACAAGAAAGAAAAAATGAGTAGCACCGTTACAGCAAAATCGTAAGTTTTTTTCCTTTGTATGAAAAGAATGGGATCGTCGAGTCGTTGACCGCATGGACAGAGCATCACTGTGGAGCAGGCGCGCCAGCTAAAACGCTTGTCATAATACAAATTGCTATTGTCAAGTCATGCTTCCGGAGCATTCTAGCCACTACGCGTGTGTTCCGCAACGTTTCCTCACTTCCTTGGTCAACGAACTTGACGCTCAGTTTACGCGCATATTTTTTCTGGATTAGATGCTTCCGTGATTATGATCGCCCCACCCAACTTAATCGTTTTTAGGTTTTCGAACCACCTAGAGGGTCGGCCTTAGGTTACCACCGACTGTTCTCAGGGTTACAGAGGTTGCTGGGGTCTCGTTTGGAGAGCGCGCATCACACAGAGACTACTGGGTGGTGGGCGTTGGCGACAAACCCAAATTTTTGGACCTCAAATCCGTGCAAAAAGTCTTCGGAGCAGAAACAGGGGGACGGGGTAAGAAAAAGTTAAACACTCAAAATAGCATACCGTTCTGGCTCTTTGCGCAGGTTTCCTGGAGAGGCTACACCTTCTCATATCCGGCTTCACCTACACATGTGTATGCCGTCATAGCACAGGAGAGCTAGAAGTCTCTTTTTGTCCCCTATTCAGGATTTTGCGTGAACATAAACAAACTTGTGGAGGGTGGGAGCCCGTAAATGCTTCTTTTTGCTTTGATGTCACTTAATCCCTTGCGTTTAAGTGGTTTCGTTTGGGGCATCTCATATGGAGTCCTATACCGCTCGCTATAGTATCTACCTATAGAAACAAGTTACAACAGCATTGCGGCACTGGTTAAAAGTTAACCATTGGGATGGAACACAAACACTTCTACTCTGTGAGAATTTCCGGAGCTCTCGAAGTCAACTGAGAACAATATCCATCAGCTGCTCAAGAAGTTGAGCTAAAGTTTCCTCTATATTCAGATAAAGATATAGCAAGTTTTTGCACATAGATGTAGTCGTTGGAATTGGGTTGCAACTAGATTGACATGAGGAAAGCTCGTATCAAAACTGCTATGCAAGAGACGAATGATGATGATTGATGTAGAGATTTACATTCTTCTTCTTATCAACGACGCAACCTCTCTTTATCATTATTTTGTATAAACTATCCTTTTCGGGTAGGGTTGCGGGGTAAAGTATAAGTGATACTATCTCTTTCTCTAAACGAAATCTGGAAAGCTATCGTATAGTATGTTTCTTCAAAATTCGTTGCCAATAACAAGTATTTTTCCCTTGCAAAAGATGCATAGAGTTATTGCACTGTAATCAACTCTATCACCAAGTATTTATAGACGCCTTTGCCATAAAATAGAAGGATGTGGTAGGGACTAATTTGGGCAAGACAACATCTTACCTAATCGTATTTGTATGCGACTAGCAAATGATCTTGTGAGGCATATAGCAAGCGACCATGAATCCATCCGCTCAGTCTGTCTATCTCCTATCCGCCATTTTGTCGCATATCGCAAGTCCCTACATGAAACGCGCCCCAGCTTATAGGACGCAACGGTATGTTATTTTGAGTATAAGCTCTTCCAAGACGAAGGCGGTCGGCTCGTGTGCAACGCGGCTGTGACATGGCTGCGTCACAGCCGTATCACAGCCACGTCGCGCATCGAACCGACCGATACATAACTCGACGCCATCGAAAAATGGCGCGTAGTCGCGGGTTATGGGCTTCACATTGCTTGCGTTTTGCACGTTTGTCACCTGATATCCGATTGCCTGCTTCAGCAGGACGGCTAGTAAGCTGATGTAATTTGGCGTCACGTTGGAAGGAAATCGTAATGGCGTCTGCGATGTTCGCAACAGTAGTTTTAGAGAGGTGATAAAAAGCCTAGCAGTATGAGAGAATGTTAAAAAGATCTCACCAATGAAGAAATGCTTGTTGTAGCTCGCGAACGCCAACTTAATTTTCCTTTAAAGGCAGTGTCCGGGCAAAAACTCGATTTCAAGAATATCCGCTTACCGGGGGTTATCCGCAACGTTGAATCCGAAAATCCAAATTAGAAGGTGCGAAAACGGCGAGAACATACGTTTTCCAAAGCCGCACAATTTGAAATTTGACGGTCCCCACCAAGGCAAAGACGCAGAGTCGCTGGGGACCCTGTTTTAACACGTTTCGGACACGCTGCTATGAAGGATTTTTCTGGCGTTTACAGGGGGTCTTCTTCTAGTCCAAAGTTGTTAAGTCTAAGGTCTAAGCTCCTACTTTTCAAATAACTCTATAAAGTTGTGCCGCGCATGTCTGTTTTGGAGGTATGAGGACAAATCGAACAACCGTTGGAACGAAGAGCGGCAACGCGAACGACGCGTGCGACGTCGCAACTTTTCTTTGCTTTGATTTCAAAGAGAAAAACCCTAGTTTCAATAAGATGTGTACCGTGTACAACATAGATACTTTTGTATACTATTTGAAACTGAGTTCTTACTCCTATCTTTCAAGAAATCACAAAAGTCCTTCTCAAGCGACAAAATGCAAACATTTCGAATGCACTCAGAACTTTGGATATGGAGCTTCTCTGACATGCTGACATCTATAATCAGCTGGCGCTATTCGGCTATCCGGGCCCCAAAATTTTTTTGTTATGGATTTCGCTCAAACTTGGCCGAGAGGGGTTATCTGACATGCTGATCGCGAATTTCACCTTTTCTCCACAGGAAAACGCCTCCCCGCAGGGTTACGGTAGGTGCACGGTAGGGGGGTCAAAATCACGGATTTGCCCGCAACTTCGTCTAGAGGGGTTATTTTGCATGCTGAACACGAATATGATGTTTATCTCGTGCGACAGCGCCATCTGATGGAGTTACGGTACGACTACGGTAAGGAGTCAAAATCATGGATTTGCCCGAAACTTGGCCCAGAAGGGTTATTCGGCCCGCTGATGCCAAATATCACATTGGTTTTGAACCGTAGCGCCATTTTCTCGGGTTACGGTTGCTACACGGTAACGTGTGTGAAACATAGTTCTGCCTGAAACGGATGTACGGCGATTCGGAGGATCCTGAAGCCTTGCACACGCGACCACCGTCGCGCGTTACATACCCTGTTGCGGCTTTTGCCTAAGCAAAGCAAAGGGGAAGGATACATTTGCCGATTTGTGATTTTGACCCCTGCCGTAAACCTACCGTAACCATGCAGGGAGACGTTTTCGTGCGGAGAAAGTGTGACATTTCTAATCAGCGTGTCGAATAACCCCTCTGTGCGAAGTTACAGCGGATTTTGAGATTTTGACCCCCTGTACCCACCGTAACCCGAGAAAATGACGCTACGGTACAAAACCAATATGATAATCAGCGTGAGCGGGCCGAATAACCCCTCCAGGCCAAGTTTCGGGCAAATCGTGATTTTGACCCCCTACCGTGCACCTACCGTAACCCTACATAGAGGCGTTTTCCTGCGGGGAAAAGCTGATATTCGTGATCAGCATATCAGATAACCCCGCTGGGCCAAGTTTGAGGGAAATCCATGACAAAAAATTTTGGGGCCTGGATAGCCGAATAGCTCCGTATGTATGCTGTACACATACACATCATCATTGAAACTACGGTTTTTCTCTTTGAAATCAAAGCAAAAAAAGTTGCGACGTCGCATTCGTCGTTCGCGTTGCCGCACTTCGTTGCGACTGTTGTTCGATTTGTGCTCATATCTCCCAAACAAATACCAGCAGCACAACTCTACAGAGTCAATTGAACAGTACAGGCCCCTTAAAATCCAATTGCCCACGCGTCGCTTTGAACAGCAAGGCGCGGCGCGGCTGGGAACGTTTGGTCCCGAAGCGCCACAGGCTTTTTGCGAGCGACAGTGAGCGCGCACCCCTCCCACACCTTTAAACTTGTGAAGGGAGCTGTCGTCAAGATATACCTTGCATTGACGAGAACAACATGAAAGCTAAAGAAAGATTTCCTGGGATATAGTGAACGCCGACAGTCGTTCGCGACGACCGCTCGCTTACGCTGGTGTTCAAGGCACGGCGCGGGCAATTAGGTTTACGGCGCCTATAGAAACTTAGGGCTTTGACTTGATAACCTTGGACTAAAAGAAAACCTCCTGTAAACGTCAAAAAGATCTTTTGAAGCAGCGTGCTGCACCATGTGCAGCACGCTGCTTTGAGGGATGTTTCTGGCGTTTGCAGGAGGTTTCCTTTTAATCTAAAGTTGTTAAGTCAAAGGTCTAAGCCCCTACGTTTCAAATGACTCTGTAGAGTTGTGCCGCCGATATTTGTTTAGAAGATATGAGCACAAATCGAACAACAGTTGCAATGAAGTGCGGCGACGCGAACGACGCGTGCGACGTCGCAACTTTCCTTTGCTTCGATTTCAAAGAGAAAAACCGTAGTTTCAATACTGATGTGTACCGTGTACAACATAGATACTTTTGAATACTATTAGAATCTGAGTTCTTGTTCCTATCTTTCAAGAAAGCACAAAAGTCCCTTTCAAGCGACAAAATTCAAACACTTCGAATTCACTCAGAACTTTGGATATGGAGCTTATCTGACATGCTGATTACAAATGTGGCCCACAGGCTGCAAAATAAGGTCCCTTCGTAGGCTAACGGTTGAAAGTACACTCTTTTTCGCCGCGCGCGATTTCGCGGTCCGAAACGTGTTAACTGTGGCGGCATGCGTACTCTGCCGCTTAACAGGAATTCGGACAGCTCGGAGGACCCGCCCCAAGGCGTAGGTTTCCCCACTTTCCGGTCGTTTTTTTTTTGCTTTAGGTCGAGCGTCATGACGTCGCACTTGCGCGATATTGTGTCTGAGGGGGGCCACTCTCGCATGGCACTGAAATCCCAAAACCCCCATCTTGCCCTGAACTGCCTTTAAAGTGACAACAAATAATAGCGGCTGCGCCGCGTCCTGCTGAAGCACGACGATCGACTAAGCTGGCGCCTATCTGACGCTTGCTCTCCGCAACAGTTGCCGGCAATCTGTGACCGCTCCTCGACTGTTTGCCTCGTAGTTTATATCGGTCTTTCGCCAGTATTCATCTTAAGCTAGCATGCACTCAAAGGCAGTGTCTCACCTGAATCAGTCTCGAAATCTTTGCGTGATACAGGCCTACTCAATTTTGTGTAATCTTATTTGGGTTCCAGTTCGCATGAAATCCCAAGAACCTCGCTTTGTAAGAGCCTTGCAGAAGCAATCCGGACGAGCTGTGCTGCTGTACTTGGTCGCTACCGCAGGGTTGAACGTCAGGAAGCAGCGTTGTCCGAAAAGACGTGTTAAACGCGAGGCAGGGAAACTCGCGAGTCGTTTGGTGCAGCCCAGATCGCTCTCTGCGGCTTTGATTGCAGCTTTCTTGACGTAGGGAGGACCAAATCGAGTGGGGCTTTTGCTCTGGCCTATTTAAATAGTCCTTACAAAATAAATGGAAACCCGCGCGGCCTCAATTTTGGTGAGACACTGCTTCTAAGGCGTTCATATCGGTCCGTATGTTCCGGAACAGTTCTAGCACAGCGTCCAGTTCGAGCGCGTGTTGGAACTCTTCCGGAACATACGGACCGGTATCAACCCAGCCTGACGTTCACGAATGCGAATGTCTCAGACTTTGCTGTCGATCACTAAGCTTCATAAATGGTTCTATATTCTCAAATGGTGAATCATAGTAGGGAAGAAGTATTGTTGGATCGCTTGCGTTTTTGTAGTCGACCATACGAATGTCAGTTGAGTGCATATTTTGATCTTATATCTTCCTATATCGTGAATTACTATCTTTATTAACAAACTGCAGGGAAGCCTATTGCTGCAAACAAAATTCATGTTCCGTTCTTCCAGCGTTATTCGCAAATTTGTATCTCTTATATATAGTCTTTGAAATAGAAATAGTATAAACAACTAGAAGTGGATGCTAAGCTTACAGTCAATGTCAATTACGTACTCCTTTTGCATGGGAACTACGCACGTGCAACGCAAGGGCCTTGCGTGCGGATCTCCAAAGAGGGAGCACGTGATTGACACGGACTGTATTAAATGGAACTCTGTGGCAGCGTACACATCGTTCGGATCAGTCTGGATGAAAGTCTGTATTGCACTGTTCGTATCTTGAACAGTGGAAGTTATATTTGGTTTCAGCACTGCCGCACCTATTACTTCACTTCGTAAGTCAAGTTCAGTTGGTAACTGGAATGGCATCACGAGTGTGTCAGCTCTGAAAGTGTGTTTTTTTAGTTATTTCTTTTCCATAGGCGAGAGTTTTTTTATGCAGAGATTGCTGATTATAATTTTCATTAGGAAAATTTGCACGCCACTGTTGCACATAATTTTCTTGAAATAGAGGGAGGAGTTTTTCACCTCAATGAGAGTAGTTCACAGACACCACTCGGAAACTCTGCTTTGTGGGTGCACTTTATAACTGCTTTGAACTACCAGGCGCTACCATCGCTCATTTCCCTAAGGGATAATTAATGCTGCCTTTGGATCTCACTATTACAGGATGCTATCGTTTCTGATAGTTCTCGTGACAATGCAATGGTTTTATCGAAGTATGGAAATGCTCGTCAATCTGCCATGATTTCTTCCGCATCATCTACACAACCACCACCCTCAAACTCCTTCGTGGTCCATCCACATAGTGAACACCAGGTGCTGAAGTTCTCATTCTTTATCACTGAGCTCCATTTCAAAATGTTACCCACTGCAGAACGATGGCTTAAAAGGTGGAGTATTTCGTCGGGGTTTTTTCTCGAAGCCTGTAATGCACTCAAAGGAAGAGAATGACCGCTATCTGATGACTTTGGACCGTTAATGAAGTGTCGGAGATAGGTTTTGAAACGAAGCTATTAGCAACACAAATAACTGGATCATATTCTGCTTAAACATAGACATTCTGTTGATGCTGAGGCAAAGCCTTTTTGAAATTTTATTTCCTAACTTTTCGAAATTGTGATGATTTTGTTATTTGCCAATATAGATTCTACGATCTCAGGATCAAAGTCGGATTGAAATTCTTACCTGTGATATGATTTAGATCCTTGTAGAATACCTCATGAGAGAAATTTTATTTTTTCTTTCTCTTACAGTCATGCAGTTTCCACCTCGAACAAGGTTTTTCTCAATACAAATCATTATGTAGTGCTCACTTGTAGATAGCCTTTTTTCTCTGTCATTTTCAATGTACAGGTCATCAAACAATAAAAACATATAGGTCGTTTTCAGTCGCTGCCATCTATCAATTTCAAGCTGGGAATGTTGCTTTGACAAAAATCAGCGAGAGATTTTGACTCCGAAAAGTGAAGAAATGTAGGGCTGGTATGCACTACATTCCCATTAGGGAGGAGGCGGAGCTGAGAAGGGACGCTCATATCTCGTTGATCCTTCTTCGTCTTTTTTATAAAGTTTCTCATATCCTGGTACTTGAGCATAATGGATGCCAGGACACTGCCATATAGATTGCGATTTTGACTGTTTTGTTATTCCGTGGAGGTTTTCCAGGGGATCAGAAGTCGTTTTCAAAGTTGTTTCTACCCACTCGGTGAAAACGTCATAAAGTTATACTGATGAATTATAATGGCACCGCTAGGCATTATTTCAACAGTACAAACGGAATGTGAAGGTTTTGAGATATGCCAGCTCGCCAACGTGGTTCATCGAAGATCTCGATAACATGAGATCTCACTCATCTGTACAGTCTGCTCCAATCAGGGTCAAGCGTGTGGTGCGACTGTCGCAACGGGGGGTCGTAAAGGGGGTACCGGCGGTGGGGGGGGGGTCATAAGAGAGGGTGGTACGAATAAGAAAGGTGGAATGTATGAAATAAGCTTTTCACAAGGGAAGTTCGCCGAATCGAAATGGCCGATTGATACTTGGTATATACCCGGACGCGGGGCTCGGAAGGTTAGTATCAAATGTGCGCCCATTAGCTGCGACGCGTTATTGTGAAGCAAGTTATGGCCCTCTGAAGTTTTTGGCGTGTGCATGTCTAGAGTACGCACAAACGCTCCGATTGTGGTCGTGTGGTGTAGTGGTTAGCGTCTCGGACTCACAGGTGACCGGTGAGGGTTCGAAACCTGTTGCTGTCCACATGTTTTGCGTCCTTCTCAAAAATCATTTTTTTACCTGTTTTATGTATTATTGAGGTAAAAAATGACACACACGGGTTACGGGATGATTTTTCTCACGAAAATTCGACCAATGCTTCATATGTAAGATTTTCGTAGAACATAGCAACGACTTTTCAGCGACGGCTTTTCAATTGACTTTGAAGATTTGCCAAATCCTCACTCCCACATACTTTCTTCGATTGCACGTAGTATTTAGTGACAATCTCCAAGTTGTATCACGCCGTACTATTGATTCTTGCTAATGGGCTACCTTGTGAGAATGACACGGCAGGATGTATAATTAGTAGAGTTTAACCACCCGTATGTGCATTTTTTACGTCAGTAATGCATAAAACAGGTAAAAAATGAATTTCGAGAAGAACGCAAAACATGTGGACAGCGACAGGATTCAAACCCTCACTGGTCACCTGTGAGTCCGAGACGCCAACCACTACACCACACGACCACAATCGGAGCATTTGTGCGTTCACTAGACATGCACAGGCCAAAAACTTCAGAGGGCCACAACTTGCTTCACAATAACGCGTCGCAGCTAATGGGCGCACATTTGATACTAACCTCCCGAGCCCCGCGTCCGGGTGTATACCACGCATCAGTCGGCCATTTCGATTCGGCGAACTTCCCTTGTCAGTCGCAAACATTCTCTACCCTTCAGTAACAGCATTTTTCTCCCTGCAAAAAGGTGTCGCAGACGGGGATCGAACTTGCTGGCCACAAGTATTACCGAAGATCTCAAAGACACTTTCATAAGCTCAAACAGTAGGAATTATGTGTGACAAGAATGTTATGGGCCGTCCGCGCTGCGCGCGGAGAGCAACGCTGTTGCGTCCGTCGAAGATACAAGAAGCGCAGAGAAAAACAGGCGGCGAGAGTGCACGGGGAAAGAGGAGTGACGCGCAATACACCTTGCGCACTCTCCGCGCCCTGCGCGGACGACCTATAAATGCACCATTTGGTCTAGAAATCCTGGTTCCGAAGCATCAGTGAGGTCTCACACTCTCGACAAAAGCGCTCATCTCTATCAGCGATGACCATCGATAATTTTTAAAACTTTTTCGTTATGTTTTTTAAGGGCCCATACATCTTAACTGTACTTTGGAGATGCTCTGCTACAGTTGTGCAGAATCCGATTATATTTCATAGCCTGTGGATTTTTTTTGAAATTTTATATATGGCAACAAAAAATGAAAAAAAGGGGTCGTATCTGGGTCGCATCTAAATTTTTTCGCCACTATGGAGGCCTGTTCGCTGCAAATTTGCTGCAATACGAGGCCCATCCTTCTTCTTTCTTTCCTAAAAATTTCGCGCTGTTTCTTTGCGTCTACAGTGAGTTAAGGTATTTTGGGCTTAAAAACCCTAGTTTTTGACTTCTAGGACCGCATCTAAATTTGCTAGGGTCGCATCTAAATTTCTTCAAGCTCACTGCTCTAGTGCGGCTGCAACTTTTACTTTCATTTGTCTTGGCACCATACTACAAAACCTGCTCATTGCAGCCTCTCAGCCTTCCCCTGACTTTGGTCACGAATTTTCAAAGTACCGTGCTCATGCACGATTTTGACATCGTTCTGGACGGCGCTAAAACGGTACTTTCCACAGGGCAATATGTGCAAAAGTCAGGAAATAAGCTTTCTAGTCAAATACACTTTTTGTGACTCGAAAATGTCACTTTTTCCCTATGCAAAGATTGGTGTCGCATGCGGGGACCGAACTTGCTGGCCTGGAGGCTCAAAAAATGAAAACTCAAAAAAAGCCTGAAAAACTTGCGGAAACAACGTTATTGTAGGTATTTATGCTAAATATGTTGCAGGTACTCATTGGCTTAAGAATTCTGCTTCCGAAGCCTCACTGAAGTCTCGCACACTCGACAAAATCGGATATCTTTACCAGCGGTGACGGTCAATAATTTGTAAATCTTTTTGTAGTGCTTTTTATACAGCCCTTGCGATTCTGCACTTTTGAGAAGTCCTACCATATCTGTGCATATTCTGGTGTTATTTTGTAAACTGTGGATTTTTTAAATGATTATGTATATGGTAGCAAAAAATGAGAAAAGGTGGGTCGTATTTGGGTCGCATCTAAATTTCTCCGGAGCTATTGAAGCTTGTTGGCTGCAATCTTGCTGCAATACGAGGCCACCCCAGGCCCGGCCCAAGGTTGTCAAAAGGGGTTTTCGAAAAACCCCCCTTTGACCAACATTTTTTTTCCGAATTCCCTTTCGAACCAAAAACTGATCCCAGTGATTGCGGAGTGAACACTTTACCCAAAGGACAAGTTTTGAAAAAAACAATTTATTCATGACGATAGCAAAGAAAAAAAACAAATGAGAGCATACTGCGAATCTCTGCAATAGGATCAATGAAATAAAAATTTGCACCGGCAGCTGGGGGGGGGGGGGGAGGGGAATTTTTACCATTTGTATGCTCACAATTTATGAAATCTTTCACCTTCAAGTACTCGAGTTCCACACATACTCCTCACATTCCCGTCTTCTCACTTACTCTCAACTCTAGTAATCCTACAAACATATTTTCAAACCTGCGACACTATAATGTAACAAGTTTTGTGTAAACTGCGAATCTAGAATAAAAAGAAATTCCGAGAGTAATTCTGCTTTAGAGGCGAACGCTGTTCACCGATGTGATGTTATCTTCATATCAGAGCACATGTCCCGTTGACTATGTGCCCTCAACGAATTCCATACACAGCTCGCAGAGATTATTTCATCACTACCTGGCTTACCCGGCTCCGCCGTATGTTCCGAATAGAAAATTCCATTGCTGAACCGATCGGGACCAAACTTGGGTTGCCACAGTCCACTTTTCGTTATCGATCGGTGTCGATTTTATCGATTTTTTGCAAAATTTGAGCTAGGGGGCTGGAATTTGGCAGGGGGGTGTAATCGAGCATGCTGATCACCCCCACGGGGGTGATCAGCATGCTCGATTACCCCCCTGTACCAACTCCCAGCCTATGACACCCGCCGGGGCCCGAAGTGTATGTGTGCTAAGTTTGGTCCCGATCGGTTCAGAAATGGAATTTTCTATTCGGAACATACGTACAGACAGACAGACATACAGACAGACAAACAGACATTCAGCTTTATATACAAGATTAGCAGTAAGCACCAGCATGGACTCGAACCACTTTACCCGGCACGTAATGCCAAGTCAACCCCTCAACCATTCAGTATGAGTGCAATTGATCTCACCGTTGTCTTCTATCTCAGACTGATTTGAGACAGCAAGCAAATCGTTTGGATTCGATTGAATTCCACCACTCATGTAGTCATGGTAATTTATCTACAACGATAGAATATGAATTATGCGTAGTATTCAGTCAGATACGTTTTACTTACAACTTTATGATTCCCTTTCTCTTTCCAAAATTTGCCTACATAGTCGAATCTAAGCAAAGACACGTTACAAAGATAAATACATCTAAAAATCTATAAAGGTTTGAAGTGGAAACGGGAGGTAGAAGGTAAGCAAGTCTGCATATATACCTTCTGGCCCTTCAAGACATGGTACAGACTGAAGTGAATGACAAAAATTACATGATCACTTATAAAAAAGAGAGGTGCGGCAAGGCGAGATTGCACATAATATTCCATGTTGAATTCTCAAACAGAATAATGAAAAGCGTACAGCGTACTTTTGCAAGCGAAAAGTATAGTTATAAAAGTATACTACGAAACTCGGAATTAGCAATAATGTGAACTCATCATTAGCAGATAAGGGCAGCGCAAAACAGAACTGCTCATAAGTCCTTTCAAGTCGACTGATAAAATCCATTTTCAACCATACTTTGACTTTTTTGTCCCGACTTATACAAATTAGGATCAGAAGCAGTCACTTCTGAATATACTAGTTTGCGCCAATCCTTTAACGAAGTACCTAAACGGAGCTGCCATGATTTGCGTTGTAATTAGTGTTGCTTCTGTCGTTTTCGGCTGTCAATCTCACATGACTGTTTTTGTGGTTAGGAGATTAAGCAAATGAGAACTTAGGAGAACATCTCACGTCGTAGGAAGTCCGAGACATGGACACAGCATAGCGTACTTGAAAAAGGTTACAGTTTAAGAAAGAGGGAATGTAAGGCTTAACACATTTTCAGACAATCGATGCCGTAGCTCTGGAGGGCGGTCGAAATCTGGCAGAGCTCCGGAGGGCCCTCTTAACCACTGAGGGGGCGGGGCGAGGGGGCGGTCCCTTCTTGTGACGTCCGGTGGCGTCACAAGAAGGCGGATGGGACCTTTCTCCCGGGCTCGCAGATCTCTGCTCCGGAGGTGCGCCAGATTTGGAGGAGCCCCGGAACGCTCTAGGCGTGCAGCAGCTCCGGAGCGCTGATAGGTACGCAGCCAATTTGCTGTGATACGCAGCTAAGCATTTTCGGGGCTTCCCTCGCTTCCGACATTCTCTTTTCTTGACGTTCTTTTCCGCTCGTTTTTCCTTTTTTTGGTTTTTCGTGTTGCCCTTCGGCGCATTGGCGTTTATGTTGTTCTAAGTTCCTCCTTTTCAGGTTTATGTTTCGGGTTTTCGTGCGGATGCACTCAATCACTTTTGGTGTTTGGCTCTCGTTTTCGACTTGTCGTTGTTTTTCCGCATTCTTTACCGTTCTTTTTCTTTTTCGTGTTGCTCTTCGGCGCATTAGCGTTTATGTTCTTCTAAGTTCCTCCTTTTCAGGTTTATGTTTCGGGTTTTCGCGCGGATGCACTCAATCACTTTTAGTGTTTGGCTCTTTTCGACTTGCTAAGACATCGTTGACTATTGATGGAGTGGTTTTTGTGATAGATTCTGGATTTTCGAAACAAAAAGCTTATAATGCGAGAATACGTGTAGAGTCACTATTAATATGTCCGATATCTAAAGCTAGTGCTATGCAACGTGCTGGTCGCGCTGGTCGTACTAAGCCTGGTTAGCTTTTCGGTTCTAATCGTTCTCACCTGGGAAACTTTGCATTTTAGGAAAGTATTTGCGGTTATATACGAGGAAAGCTTATCAAGAAGAAATGCAGGAGCAGACGTACCCGGAGATACTTCGGTGACCCCTTCCAATCGTACATGTGTTTTTCTCTACTTATCGTATTCCAGTTCAAATCTAGGATCGGTGGTTCTGCAGCTCAAGAAGCTAGGCATTGAAAATCTCGTACATTTTGATTTCATGGATCCTCCAGCTCCAGAAACCCTTATGAGAGCTCTAGAACTACTCAATTATCTTGCCGCTATAAACGATGATGTGAACTGACAGAGTCTTTTTTCTGATGGCGGAATTCCCTCTAGTTCCGCAGATGGGTGAGGTCTTTTTTGGACTCAAGTATGTTAGAGTTTAATCTACAAGGTTGAAGCGAAAATTCTAATTACGTCAGCAGAGTTGAATTGTTCCAATGAGATATTGTCGATAACTGCGATGTTATCCGGTAAGCAAGGTAGTGAACTAAAATACTGCGGACTAATTAGGGCATTGCAGTTCCCAGGGGTTTGGTCGACCAAATGAAATGGATGAAGCGAAGGCACGATTTGCACACGTCGATGGTGATCATCTTATGCTACTGAATGTCTACCATGCATTCAAACAAAGTGTGTTCTGTTTGTTTTGCAGATCGCCGGCAGTTTGTTTCGTTTTTGTCCATTCAGTGACTTGTATCTACTGCATCGGAGTCAAGATACTAGATTTGATCAAGTTTATTCTTAGATAATACAGAATAGATTTTGCAGTCTTTGCACCTTTTGCCACAGATTCCTGCGCGCTCCCTACAGGGTATTCGTGCCGGGATATCGTGCCTGCTTCCAAAATGAACGTGACAAGCTGCTTGAGGCCGTGTTATGACTATGCTGAGGCAGTGCTATGACCGTCTGATTATTGTGGTTATAAGCTTTATGCGCTCTATTCTTTTGCAATGCTTGCTTGCGCAAAACGTGTTGGGCAAAGTACTCAAAGGAAATATTGTTTGATGTGCACTCTAGCCTACACCATCTTTAGAACGCATGAGAATCGTGTTGTCTAAGTCTTTTTGTTTACACATATTACAAATAGTGACTTTCGCTTTGCTGCGAAAGCATACACTTCCTGAAGCTGTCAGGTTGGACTGTACCTTGGCATGAGCTCAGTGTCAATGCATGAACAGACCTCAGCAATACTTAGTGCAGTGTTCACACTATCTTGATCTCTCAAAGCTACCTACAGTATAATGAGATTCAAATTCATGCCATCACTCTTCCATGGTTAAGATAATGGGTAAACTATACTAATATCTTCTCCATGACGAAGGCGGTCGCCCAAATAGGTTGAGAGCATGCAAGGCTGACGAGCACGTGGCGCGCGGGCAATTGTCAACCACGGGCCGCGCGCATACTCGCTGGATGACCGCTGACCTAGCGTGCGCGCGCCCTGTGGTTGAAAATTGCCCGCGCGACGCGGCTTTGCATTCTTTCAACCTATTTGGGCAACCGCCTTCGTCTTGGAGCAGATATTAGTTTCTGTAGTGAAATAAAGCTTTCAACATCTATCAAGGTGATGTTATGCAACTCTGCAGCTCATTAAGAAGGGCAAGACTCCGAACATTCTGTGACATTCGCTCTTGGCTTTTAAAAGCACCAGTTTTCGGAAGATGCTTTGAATTCATGATAAACAGAATAAAGCTGTTTTTTTCTTCGGGAAGTTCACCCATTTGAATGGGTATCGAAACGCTTGACTGATCTGTCTCACATTTGATGGGGAAACAAGGGTAAAAGTGTTCTCTAGCAGTTAGCTGAGCTTCTGGTAGTTACGAGGAAACGCAAAGTGTGATCGGAGTGGGTATTTTTCCTTCTTCCAAATACTTGATATTAGATCCGAGTGCTTTGTAGGGTTAACCACAGGGTCACCACCCTTGGCAACAGTTACTCATACGCAGTTTCCAACCGCAAACGAGGCTATTGACGCGGCTTCGACGGTGAGTTGAACGTGGTCCCGGCACGAATACGCTGTGGGGAACGTGCAGGAATAATGTGGCAAAAGGTGCAACGACTGCGAAATCTGTTCTGTTAGATAATGAAGATGTGCAATGGTGCTACGCCAATTTTATCTTTGTTTTGCAATTTGCAGATTGTTTGCAATTAATTTGAAATAAATGTCTTGTCTCTTCATTCTTCTATCTTGCTATCTACATACGCTAGGGGTGAGAGGGAGGGGATAGAGAACGGGGTTGAGGGTCGCGCTGTAGTCCTATCCGGAGGGGAGGGGACCGTTTGCTGCACCGTTGCCACACCGTTTGCTCGACCCTGATCTAGAGCTAATTTAGGTGGGGTTGACATGGGGTTTGGAGCTTAATTAGGGCTATTGCAGTATGCCGCGGCAGAGTTCCGGAGCACAAAATGGGAGCTCTCCGGAGCACGAGTGGCAATCCCCCGCTGGGCAGACTCCGGCACAGGGCCCGGCACGCGTTGGTGTGGAGCATTTTTGGAAACGAAATCTCCCATGTCTTCACGAAAATTTACGAAGTCCCTCTTGACGTAAAAATCAGTAGGGAACGCTTATTCAAGGAAAATAACAATAAAAAAGCGAAAAAAGCGCATTTTGAGGTACCTAGTATTACAAAAAAAAAAGCAAAAATAAAACATTTCGAGTTGATTAAAGGCTCTGTCATTGGGTAGGGTACCACTATTGCTCAGAATGTCGAAAACCTCCTAGGACAACCAAATCTGTTGCCTCAACAATCTGGCGATGCATCTTTCGCCACATAGTTCAAAGGACACCGCGTGTGATTGGAGCGCAATATCTAGCAACGCATAATTTACACTCTTTTGGCTCAAAAAAAAGAGGAGAGGCAATAGTTTGATTCGCTCTCTTCACTATATGACAGATTTTTGACCGTTCTAATCGTCCAAATAAAACGAGCCAAAACTTTTATTAACTCTCCGATATTTTTGCTCCGAACCAACTCAGTTGTTTTGGTGTTGGTCTAGAAACCAACAAATTCGGGAACGGGTATTAGGACACATAAGTTTTTGGAACTTTTTACATAACATAGTTTGGAGTAATATTGTATATATACATAGCCCAAATTCGGAGCCATGTGATTGTTTGTGCACTGTAAACAAGCCATTTGTTTGTTTGAGTCTTGCGTTTGAAATTCACGCGCTTGCGAAGAACAAGTTCATTTCGTATAACTTGACATGTTCGTCTTCATCGGCGCTTCCCCCAGGACCTTATAAAAACGATGTCCCGTTGCTTCAAACGAAGTCCAGTTTGACCCCAAACCATCTGTGCCGGGCCCTGCCCCGGCACCCTCCCATTTTGCCCTCCGGAGGTATGGCATCGACTTTCTGAGTTCAAACCTAATCAGGAAGAAAAAGCATGATGTTCAAGAGAGATCTGAAGAAGAATTTTGCGATTACTGACACAAATAATTGGTCTCAAAGCACACTGTTCATTGCGAATAAGACTGCTGTATTCACTACACTGATATCGTTGCGAAGTACCTGTCAGAATATCTCATACATTGGTATCACATTGTTGATTTAATCAGCTTGTTCCACGAGTATCGAATGAAACTGTCGTGCAACACTCATTGATAGCTCCTAAGCAGTTTACTACTACTTCGTCACCGTCATTAAAGGTTTATGGACGACATACCTCTTAAATATCTTTGCGTACACTGATTAGACGTGAAGTTGCATGTTTGTGCAGTAAACACTAGCTTTACGCCTAATTTTGTATGGTAGGAGAAAGGTGCCTTTTGCATTCTATAATCAGTGTTTTACTGGGGTGTGAGAGGAAAATATGAAGAAACCTAGTATGAGGAGAGGGAAATATAAGAACTTCAGGAGGAGTGTAAGCTGATGAGTTCCAAAGAGGTATCTGACTCTGTCAACACATATCATGTTATCGTTAACATCAGTATCACGTCGATTACGAATCCCTCCCCCTCTGAACCCTAGATACGACCCCCCCCCCCACCCGGTGCGGCGCGCCACACCCCACGCTTGACGCTGTTGATATCGTTGCGTAGTACGTGTCAGAAAATCATGCAAGTGTATTTATGAAGCAGACTTACAAGGTAAATTCACTTAGTCGAAGTGGCGATTTGGAAAGAGATCTATACCGGTGGATAGAGCTTAAAACGCTGATCTGACATATACCTTCTATATCTGCGATGCATTGTTCTGAAAAAAGTTATGAGCTTATCTAAAGCCAAATTTTCGTGCATTTTGAGTCGCAAAATCATGATGATTTCTCAAAAGTATGCAAGCTTGAGCAAACCATCTAGTAAGCATTGTAGGTCTAATTCAAGTTCACCCGAACGGTTTCGAGTGTGTTCCGACCATGTTGTTTATCCAAAGGTCTCCATTTCCTTCTTAGATCACACTTCCATTATGTATACAAAAAAAGCCCATAACCTCCATCTGGAAGAACGCGTCGCAGATAGTGAAGGTATATTTGAGAACAGCGTTCTACGCGTTTTATCCACTGGTATCCAAAAAGTTTCCGACGCGACGAGTTTTTCTAGATGGAGGTTACGGGACGTTTTTCTATATAGTATGATGGAAGTGTGATCTAGGAATGAAATGACGAATGTGGATGAACAACATGGTCGAAAAACACTCGAAAGCGTTCTGATGAACTCGAATTAGACCTACAATGCTTATAGGTGGTTTGCTTAAGCTTGCACACTTTTGCATAGAGATTATCTTGCTTCTGCGACTCAAAATGCACGAAAATTTGGCTTTAGAAAAGCTCCTAACTTTTTTTAGAACAATGCATCGCAGATACAAAAGGTATATCTGAGATCAGCTTTTTAAGCTCTATCCATTGGTGTAGATCTCCTTCCGAATCGCCACTTCGACTAAGTGAACTTCCCTTGTTAGATCTTTCGAAAGACAATCAATGGTTTGCCAAGTACGGGGCAAAATTTTAAGAGAAAAATAAATTCAACATTGCGAACGGACTTCTTACACAACCTATTAAATGTATATTCTTCCGAGCGAATGACTTTTCATAAAATGAGTAAAGTGAGAAGTAAGTCACGCACAACTGCGGCTCAATGCAAAGTCTGGCTCTTCTTCTGAGTTACTAGAACGCGTCTTCTAGATCAAAGTGTTGCTGAGAAAATAGTGATAGTTAAAGTCATGACTTGTTATGCAAATGACAGATCTCTAGTGCAAACTCAACTCATTTGATGATTATCCTCAAATTGCTTCTTGACTTCTATTGTTGAGTATTGACGTTTCTGCAAATACATGAAGCCTATGAGCAGCTTTGATCAATGCTAGTGCTCCATGAAATCATGAAGCCCTTATGATATTTTTGTCTACTTCTCTCGAAATTGTAATACTTCCTTCGTTTGACATTGCTACACAAGTTAATTAGGAGAAAGAATGATCTGCTGAATTCGATCATAGTCGCTCAATAGATCACCTATTATTGACCATCTCACAAGATCCCAAAAGGCTTCAAGGCATGTGCAGTAGAGAGGCAGCACTTCACGCAAACTACAGTGGTTTCTAGTTCTTCGGTTTACTGCAGTCATGCCTGATAATACATTTCTACACGATATTAACAAAATAGTCATACAAACCATATGTCCCCAACTTTGAATGAACCTTTTTCCTAGGTAAGCCTCATACTGGTTATGGAATGTGATTGTTTGTCAATTCGAATCACCCGGTACGTCAGGTAGGAAAACAGTGCCATGCCGATCCACACCCCTACACATTATAGTGCGTGCTTAGTCTGACCAGATTGCTTTCGACAAGCGATTATACATAGGACACCACAATATCAATCAAGGCTGAGTTATGCTGGAGCTGAACTGGAGGTTTCAGGCTTGCTGGAATACTTTCAATAAGAACAGACTTATGGATGCAGTTTCCTTGACATTGTTGGGTCAAATGTGAAGAGTATCCAGAAAACAAAAAAATTCTTTGTGTCTAGATGCTTGTCAACTTTTGATCAGATTATTTCTATATTATATGGAAAGTGATGGTTGTGTTTGTGGTATACCTGAACCACCTAAGGGGTCAATAAAATTTGCCTTCAAGTAATACTTTCGCTGATTTGTACATTCGCTTTTGCAGCAAAAATTTGCTTTCATTTCACCACAATTACATTGATAGTAAGGATATTAAGCCACACTTGTTCACAGTTCTTTCACCACCAGTTTTGATCCGAGCCCGTATCATTATGGCACGAATAATTGTTATTTATGTAAAGCGAAATTGGGCGCTAACAAGAAGTGGTCTATTGGTCTCGAATGCGCTTGTCCTATAGGGCAACGATCTATTTGCTATCTGTCATTGCGACTGAACAAAAGGTATCAAATGAAAAACTCGTTTGTTTTGTAAACTACGCTCACGGCGTCATGCCATCCCATAAATCAACCTGTCTCGAGTAGTTACTTGAGCGGAAGTTTCTATGTGAATTCACATACTCATAATTCACCTATACAAGCACGCCTTACCACTTTGCACATTTCTTGTTGACTAACAGAAGAGGATCGTCAAAGGTATCAATATGTCAGCTACCCACAATACATAAGCCATTCTCACCAGCCGTTTGTTCGTTGATTTTCATGCAAAATTCAGATGTGGACGCCTTTCTTTATTTTGGTCCTCATCTCCGCGAGTTTGATCCATGCGTTTATTCCCAAGGTAGACATTTCTTCGAATGAAAAAGATCGAGACTTCCTATGTCTTTCCAGCATGGCTTTAGTGACTTGTCATATACAACAGAAAAACGCCATAGTTTGAAGAAGAGACAATATGATGCACCTAACGCGGTGAGCTCTTTATTCTTTTCTGTTGCAAATGACGAGCGAGCTACGGCGATGTCGTGTTCCTAGGCCGGGCATGGCAAACAAGCTGACAGTTCGACAAAGATTGAAGATGTTATGAATCAATTGAACGCGCAAGCACAACAAAGTGGCGTTGGTCGGTTACACGATTTGCTCACTTTTTCTACCAATTTACGGCGAACAAACAATATAAAACACTTCTTACAGATCTTTCAGGAAGGATGGTATTGAGAAGAACAAAAACTTTGTAGCACTTGTACGCGTTTGATCATAGTATTCCTGTGCTTTCCGTGATCCCTGCGGCTCTAGCAATTCCTGTGATTCTTCTTATCCTACTGTCGTTATCCATAGAGCGCACTCTCTTTTCAGTGGTGATCACTTTGGCGATCGCAGTGCAGTGGACATCTTGCGGATTTTCCCTATACAGCCAACAAGGCAATAATATGTTGAAGTAGAACCGAGTATGTGACAGTGGAGTCCTGCACTGTAAAAAGACTTTTTCTGTCCCATTGATAAAGGGAACCATGCAAATCGCAGGATCCACAGAATCACAGGAATAATTTGACTGAACTCTACACGAGAACTCTTCAAATTGTGTAGCCTTAGAAGTGAGCACTGGACCTGCTAATGATTATTAGTAATTTTTCAATGTTTTTCTGAATATATTCACCCTTCGCAATGAAATCTGAAGTCTCTATAACGCCTTGATCCAAGCTGCGGTGGAGAATCAATGAATTGTTCAATGGATATGTACTGAATCTAGTTGATGTTTTAGAGAGAGATGACACGAACTTAGATTGACTGTAAACAAACTAGGACTGAACATTCTACATATGTTCAGCATGTGCCTCCGATGTTCTTTTTGTTCTCGATGCAACTGGTTCAATGAAGCAAGTATTCGACGATAGTTTGCAGTACATCGCTAAGGTAAGAAGATTCTGCCGTTTATCGAGTAGACACACACCAGGTATGAATAGTAATCATATCAGAATCTGGTCAAATTCTTTTATCGGAGTCTGACTTGCACGTTTTACCATTGATACATGAAGCTGCTTGTTTTGTCCACTTTTTTGGTCTATTCTTATGTTACAACATTTGTAAAACCAGAATTGTCACATAGGGCATCAACACACATACCTCATGATCGTCTAATTGCTGTTAATATTAGAGTCGATCGTTCCAGTCATGATCCGAGCATTCAAAGAGGGTAGGGGTGACAATATAATCATGTTATTTATAAAAGTCAAACGTCTGATCTGATTACTTGACTATTTGCATTTACAATTTTTGGGAGAGGGGTTTATCATAGAAATGCAAAATCTAATCCACCATGAAAGGGAAAGGATTCTAATTTGATAAGATGAACCGAAGAGATGGGCATAACAGTAGATCTACCAGGCTAATGCTGATTACCCTAAAATCTCACAGATAAGTCCTCCCATCAGATAAGTCCGTCTACAGATAAGTCCGCCGTCAGATAAGTCCGCTTTTTTGACTTGAATATAGCTCTTCAGATAAGTCCGCTTCCTTTCCATTAACTACCCTGGAATCTGTCAGATAAGTCCAGACTTATCTGATGGACTCATCTGCAAGATTGTTGGCCGTGCGAGAGTGCACTTTCGTCGATTTTTCTTGTCAAAAAAGCGGACTTATCTGTAAGACTCTAGGGTATATTATTCGGAAACTAGAAAAAAATACGCTGGTGCTTTTATGAGCATAATCATCAGTGAACCTTGAGGTGAAAATTTACTTCAACAAATTTAGAGCTATTTTCTACTTTAGGGAACATTGATCATTGGTAAAAGAGCTTACATGATGTTGATTATTTGTACCCTATGAATACACGTATGCTGTGGCAATCCTCAAGGCGATTTTAAGCTTAACATATCGATAAATACGCTTACTGAGTCTATAACCTACTTATATGTTCGGGATGCAGGATCGCTAGATGTAGAATTTGTCATTTCACGCTCGTCATTTTTCTGATTTCCACCCATTGAAACACGTTTGCCAAGTGTGTATGTCTTTGTCTAATGTACAAAGTAAGCAAATCCAATCCAATTCCCTAGATTTCGACCTCAAACCTTATGCGGATTCCGATTTATGTGCATGCCAGACTTTTATCTTGAAGTAGAGATTGCTATGATTTGTTGAGATTCAATAACAGAAATGATAGAGACAATTTTCTTTGAGTGAGAAGAACTTTGTAAAAACCTAAGACTTTCAAACCATCATCTATTCCAGTCCTCTGTGCCATCAGAGTTCACGCTTCATAGCTACAAAGTCACGCTTGATTGTCTAGAGATCTACAAAACTTGTAGGGGCAATGCCAGCTTTCTAGTCATTGAGTCATTGAGTGACAAGAACGATGTTTCGCATGAAAGTTTGTGTATCCACGCACTCCTCCCTTTCTTTGACGTGAAGCCTCAACTTTCATCCTTTTCAGCCATAATCACCAGATTATACCTCATTATGAGAGCGAAATTTCCTGTATGAAGTGTCAGATGAACCATAGAATACGTAGTGTACGACTTTGCCAGATTTTGGCACTCGCCAAATCACGATCATTCCCCCGTAACTCTATTGACCCTCAAATCGCTGGGACAAGCGACATCAACCAATACTTTGTAAATTAGCATTGAATCCCAGAAAGCTGAACTTTGACGTTGAAGAAGCGCTACAAAGAAGGAAGTAGACATAGTAACTCATGTTCGCGGCATCGCTTGACTGATGTCCATAGTCGATACGACTGTCATACATTTGCAGGCAGCGGCCAAAGCGAAACGTTCACCGCACGAAGAGTGCATCCCATCATCTTTCGAACAGACTAATCTAATTTACAACATTTTGCAGACGTGCAAATTTTGTATAGAATGGAGTTTTTTGGGATTTGTTACGTGTGTTGCACCCAAGGCGCCACCTCAAGACATGTGCTTGATTGCCAATTTCGAGAGATTTCTTTTTCCCCTCTGTGTAGAAATGGGCACCTTAATTTCACGAGTATGGGACGCGAGGGCTTTTTCTCTTGAACGAACAGTACAGATAGCCGAAGGATTTCGCTACCAAAAAGCTTGCAAGTGACTGAATTTCATTTGACGCTATCTGGCATACCCGCCTCCGCCGGCCCTTTCAATACACTATGATGAAGGTCACTATTCCTGTTCTGTGCAACATCAACTGTCCCTGTCCCACTGCTAAAGTGCGACATCATTATACAAGCGCTTCTTTTGAAAGTTTCGGAAGTCTTTGTAAGAAATGAAACCATCGGTGCTGCATTAAAGCATAGACGAAAACGATATATGTAGCAGAGAATGAAAATCGTTGTCAATATTTTTGACTTGCACCGTATGCGAATTTCCAGGGTTTGTAGTGTTACGAACACCTTAGTGACAGCTCCTTTTATCACTCGGCTATTATATTTCTCATAGAAATTTTGAAGGTACAGTAATAAAGTCTAAGATATCTGCTACACGCTGAAAACCACAGTTCACAACCAGCATCTACTAAGGTTTTGAGGTACATTGAGCTATTTCAATAGATCGTTGTTCCAAGCTTGAAGAAACCTTCTGTATTCGTCGCGTTTCTCAACCACGTTTCACTCATAACCATAACAGTACAATTTCGAGCCTCGACATTCGGGTTCTGTCTCGCGCAGAGACCTGCGAGGAGGCAAATGCATTGCTTGCTTGTGTAAGTACCTATGCCAAAGTTTTAGAGTTTTTGTGGGGCTGATCTTGAGGCTTTGGAGCTAGATAGTGAGGAAAGGTATAATCGCAACAGTATACACGCTCATCTCGTGAGATGACGTGTGCGTGACCAAAAACAGATGCTCAGCGTTGTGTTGTTGTTTTTTCTAGCCAAACACACAATCTGTCGAACTTTAACGCCCTAACAGTTACATACATCTGGGACCCTGCATATTGAAATTGGGGTGCAGAACGGACTTGTGTAATGATGAGAAAGTTATGTGATTATGTTCTGTCAACCTTAACGCCACTGCAGGTGGCAAAGTTTGGAGAAAAGCTGCACGCTTTTTACTCGCATAAGTTTTTCGAACTTCATCCTTTCATACACACTAAGTTTGCAGCCGTACTTTCGCATTGCAAACGAGTCATTTTTTACTACTTTAACAGGTAGCGTTCAGTTATTACGAGCAAACGAGCCCCTAACGGTGTCCTTTAGCGGTGCGCCGGATTTAAATTCTTGGATTGACCATCCGCGGCCGAGATATATTTTCTTGGCGACTCGCAAGTCAATGTTGTCGATAGGGAAAGGCCGCGAGATTCGATTGCTTTTATCGGGACACCCGTGGAACAAGAAAAAATACTAGGGCGCGTCCCAGCCTGGTAGGGAACAGCATTTGGTTTTCCGGCATGACCCTTGCGTGAAGGGAATAAGAACAGGTCTTCAAAAATCTTAAGAAATGAAATAGATATGTTTTGTTGCGCTTAGCGGGTGCGTACCGGGCCACCCGCTGCATATCGCCTATCAGTTGCTTGCCGCGACATTCACGGGTGTTGTTCGGACGCTTATCGGCGCATGCGCAGGTGATTCTCGGGAGCTTAACGTTCGTTTATCCGTTCACCCGCTGCATGGATGGACAGGGATTCAGCATGTCATGAAAACTCGCTACTGCTCAGACCGAAATACTAATGGAAATTGAAAAAGAAAGCAACGGAGTGTACTAGAAGGTCCAAAGAAAATAAGTATGTTATTGGATATATATCTTTGAATATAGATTGACAGGGAGGGGTAAGTGAGTATACTGACTCGGGCAGCCTCTCCTCCGCGGATGTTCGCAATACATGTCTGAGCGTTTAAGCACATTCTTTAGAGCTTGAAGTGGGTAATACCACCTGCAAACCATTCGATAACGTCCTTGCAGCAAAGTGAGCGAAGTGGCAAAACTTAGGTTCGATCAACCGATCAGCTGATAGCAGGTAGCCGGACACTCTTTGAGTCAAGCTGGAGAGCTTTCTTGACGCAAGAACGAAATGACTACTGACCGCTTAGGGAACACTATTTATGGTAAAAGGAGGCCAGAAGAGCTGACCTCGCCTGCGGGGACTACGCCGAGGATTACGCAGGCGAAAGGGCGCGCCCGCCATTGGTTCGCATCAAGAAGCACATAGACGGCAGAGGTAAATCGTGCACGTCCACTCCTCTGGTCACTCACCGAGTACAGAAACATGCGGGGACAAATCCTGGAGTTTCGGTGAAAATCTTGACGACGAATTCCAAACATCAGGCGGAAGTGCTTAGATGGCTTTTGCATTCGCACAAAAAATCCAAAAATGAGTCGCAAGGAATGTCTGGCGGTGCGCGTGAACTCGCGCCTTATTCAGGTCAGCTCTTGTGACCTAGTTTTACCAGAAATAGTGATACCCTAAGCGGTCAGTAGTCATTTCGCTCTCGCGTTAAAAAGCCCTTCAGGGTAACTCAAAAGGTGAGTGTTTGGCTATCTGTTACCAGCTGGGCTAGGGATCGAAGCGAAGTCTTGACGCTTCGCTCACTTTGATGCGAAGACGTTATTGAATGATTGCAGATTGTATTACCCATTTCAGGCTCTGAAGAAGTCGATCTACCGAAAGGTCAGCCAATAAAGTATTTAACAATCTTAATTTCGGTTCACAATGTACGCAGAAGATCAGTCATCCAACTCGGGATTCATTGAAAGTCGCAAATTCCATTTTCCATTTTTTACTAATATAAGATTTTGGAAAACTTGCCACGGTCACATTATTTTTCCACAGTCTCTGCATTAAGCTCCTCCCAGTCCTTGTCCGTTTATGCAAAACATTCGGAATCATATCGTTATGTGTGCTTCAACGAGGCAACAATTACTACTCGATAAAGATTTTTCATATTTGAAAATTACGTTGGCAAGATCGTGTTTTGAACGTCGATCGTGTGGCAGCTTGTTGAGAGTGCGTATGTACATATAAGCGTGTGCCTACACTATCTCCTTTGCTTCTTCTCCTGGAACGATTTTCACATTGACATTTGCTGCCCTCGTGTCAGGTCGTGATGTTGCTGTGCCAACCTTACATTATGGATCAATCACAAAAGAGAATTAATGAGATCCAATAATCTCAACACTTTTTGCTGTTCATTGATTTTCTGAGATTGCTTTTAATAATACCTATCATCATTCTACATGTATAGAATGGGATCCAACAAGCAAAAACTAAAATATAATTTTACAGGTTCTTGAGGGGCTTACAATATCGCCAGATGGTGATCACGTCGGATTAGTAGAGTACAGCAGTTTACATAAGCAAAGAGAGAAGATACCACTTGGGTCCATTACAGAGCCAGCTCGACTGACCAAGGCAGTACTAGGTCTTGTTATTCGCATTCCAATATTTTTCCCTTTGCGAAAATAAGGCTGTTCCAAGAACTACCGAACTGAATATTTTCAAGCCTCTCCAACAAACTTCTCTACTACAGCGCTGCCGTTCTTCTCCGGGGTCACAGCAACTGGCGCAGCTCTCGAATTTGCAGACCATGCTCTGCGTTTGAGAAGGCCCAATGTGCGCACCAGTGTTGTCGTCATCACTGACGGCTACAGGTAGAAGCGGAATACAGCAATCATCCCAACGTTGTCTTTGCTTTTCAGTTACGATACTACGGAGACTAGTGCTGAGACACTCCGTAAACACCCAAACACATTCACATATGTTGTCTCCATTGGTAACATCTTCTTAAAGTGAGTTGTCCATTGAATTTACATGAACTAAACCGAATATGATTTTGTGTAATCTTTGCGATTCATTTCGAACGCGAGTTATACAGGCTGTCCGTAAAGTATGTATACACTGTTTGATCGTTAATATCTCTTTTCCCAAGTCTTTTGCTTAGCTTTAAGCACCATTTTGTAGGGCTGGAAAAATATCCACGAAAGTCCATAATGGAGGAAAATGGACTTTCATAGTCCATTTTATACGTTCGCGGTAGAAACTGGTCGAAATCGCCTCCCGCTTGCGACATCCAGAGTTTTCATCCCATCGCAACCGCGAGGCAAAGCGGTGAATGAAAATGATTCGTGCTTACTTGAGCTATCGCTCGCGGAAGATGACGTCAAAAGTCCATTTCAAAATGGGGCAGAATGGAGTTCATCTCCGTGTTCGTTCCTCACTACTTTTCTGTTAAGCCCAATTACTCCCAGCAGCCAGATGTGCTGGGATAAGTCCATTTTTGTCCTTTTTGCCCATTTTTTATTGTGAATTTCTGAGAGTGTGTTCCCTAGCCTTTTTATGGTAATAAGTGAATGGACAAAATTTTATTTCTATGGAGTTCGAAATATGTGGTTCTTCCAAACTCATTCAAACGCTTCAAGAATCTCGGAGGAAAGTGGAATTCATTTATAGACCCGCTAACAAACTTAATTGCTTTCAAATATTAGGCTGATGCGAAAATGTCTACGTAATTCAGTAAACTCATTTAATCTTCGAATCATAAATCCTAAATCCAAATTCGTGCTGTATAGATTCAAAAAAAGGGAGGGTTCGCTTCTACGAAAGAAAGGCTATTTTTATTGACCTTTCGGAGGACTAAGCTTTAAAGATGGCGCTTCAAAACTTGTATTTGTAGTATGATCGTAAGAAATACTGAAGCTATTGCCAGTAACCCTATTTTCTATAAAGCAATAGTCCGTACGTTGCTCATGCTTTAATCTTGCATGGAAAAGCAAGAAACAAAAATATCGTGAAAAATGTCATTTTGCAGATATCCTTATTACGAAATTTTTCAAACAGCATTGTTTGGTGCCCAAAAAAATGTCGCAGCTTTAGATTATTTCTGCCTTTGCTGTATTCTGGTCAAGAAAAAACAATAATAGGTGTTTTTCTTGAAAAATAACATTTCTCGTTTTCGTGGACATTGAAGACTGTCACATAGCAGTGAAGTACTGCCATGAAGGAAACTTTTGCAGATTTTTTGGAGCTGAGTAAGGACATTCCAATATTTTTTACGACCAAAGTCAAAATCAGTTCATGGTACAGCTCTTGGAAGCATGGTTCTCCAAGACTAAACCTAGACAAAGAAAATTCTTTTTTAAATAACTATCAAAAAGCGCAAAATTTCTTTCTGATTTTGAATACAAGTTAGGAATTTAGGTGAGGGAGAAGTTATGGAGTTTTTTCCAGGCGTATGAACATTTCCTCAACCGGTCTGAAATCCTTGTGCAAAAAATGCGATTGAAAAATGGCTTTCTTTGGCACTCCTATAATGCTGTTTGAGATGGTCCAAAAGTTGCTCATTTGGTTGGAGTTGAAGGCTAATTAGAGTTTCAGTTGAACATTGTGTTGAAAGGGAAAAAAGAGCTAAAGTGAAGCATTCACAATGCCATCAATCTTTTATAAATCTGTAATTTTCCTTATTTCGAGACAGAAGCTTTTGGGTTGTACGTACTCTATTCTCTTTCAGGTTAGAAATCTTAGCGTCTATCACAGTGCAAGTATAGCAAAAATTTGCTTTTTGCGGTTTTGCGGTTTACAACTTTGGTTTAGGGCAAATTCGTAGTAGAAGTCTCGAAAAGCAAAGATGGCATTTTATAAGATGTAAAGGGATGAAGAAAATAGAATATCTACAGCTAAGATTGTAATAGGTCAATTTCTGCTGAATATCGACTAGTATGTTGGGAATGAGTTTACATGGATGAGTAAACGGGCTTAAACAAGCTAAAAATGGGTTTGCTAAAGCATTGGTGTGTGGAATGAATGAATTCGCGAGTGCGATTTCTTATCGCACCACATGGACTAAGCCCATTTTATTCGCGCTTCATTTGCGAAAAGCCCATTTCTAAATAAACTTTCTTGGATATCATTCCTGGTTTCAACTCAAATTAACAGCATGGAGCGAATCACCGGTCGCTCTTCATTACTGTAGGATTACAGTAGAAAATTCAAGAAGGGTGTTGTGAGCCATCAAGGACCCTATTTCGCCTCAGGAAGCAAGCCGAACAACCAGAGAACTTTCATGCTAGGCCAACTGAAGCCGCTAAAACCAAATATGATGTTTGCACTTTACCGCAATGCTTCCTTCGTAAGCTATGCCGGGTAGACCGCAACAGCTGTTTTTACAAGAATCCAAAAAATCGAGCTTACACCATTTCAAAAGCTCTGCAAACTCGTAAAAAGTTAAATAATAAAAACAGCAAGCCTGAAAACCCTAGTACACGAATTTTCAGATTTTTTGGAAAGTTTTTTTGAAACAAGGTAAATCGTAATGAAGCTGTAAGCTGAGAGCTCCTACCGTAATCTTACAGTAGCAATCCCCATGCTCACTTACCCCCCTGTGCAAACTCCCAGCCCCGTAGGTGAACTCAGCAAAAAAATTGATAAAAATCGATAAAATTGATATCGATCGATGACGAAAAGTAGCCTATGACACCCGCCGGGGCCCGAAGTGTATGAGTGCCAAGTTTGGTCCGGAGTTCAAAAGTGGAATTTTCTATTCGGAACATACATACATACAGACAGACAGACAGACAGATATACAGACATACAGACAAACAGACATTCAGCTTTATATAAGACAAGCTCGCGCCGCTCTTAGCGTTGTGGGCTACGCCTTCATTTGCGACCGAACTACATTTTCCCTGTTCCTCTTTCGTCGCATCTACCAACACAGTATTATTCTGTTCCTTTAACTGGTAATCTATCGTGCACTTGAGTCCAAAACAAAACCACCTGCTTGACTCGGCGCTAGATGGGGAAGAGTGGCGTAATGGTATAAGGCGCCGCCATGACCAAAGGACACAGGTTCGATCCCCGCGCCCGGCCCAACCAGGCCCTCTACCCTCCGGGGTCGGTAAATGGTACCAGAGTAATCTGGGAGGATAAAAGCACTGACTTAGTGAACGGCTGGATCCCGCAAGTCAGTGTAATAGGCTCGCACGCATACAGTTGCCTCTTCGACTATGAAGTAGTGTGCGTTCGGCGCATGCTCGCAGAAGGATATTGAAGACGCCGAATCCTTTATCTTTTTATTCTGAAAAGAGCTGGAGATGCCATAAAAAATCCATTGTGTTGCATTTTGTTTACCTGTTTATCTGTTGAACTCCTCCAAAATTCAAAACGGGATAATTTAAAAAAATTACCAAACTTGGGCATGGTGAAATCCATGGGTTCAAAATTTCGGCAGTTATCCTGAAAGGCTGCGGCGAATAATCTGTAAAGTATAAATAGAAAAAACGGAACTTTCGGAAAGACCTACTATTACCTTCCGAGTAAATAAATTATCCATCTTGCAAAGAATAAGGTTGACGGAGAGCTTTTTTCCCTTTATTCTGAAAAATTGTAACTCCATGCTATTGGACGATAGCGCTTGATTGAGAGCTTCCAGAGAGAGGAGATGTGGATTTGTAATATTAGGTTGGACCATAAGCCTTGCACCAAAAAATCCAAAAAAATTCATTCAGAAGTGCTTAGGCAACCCAATCTGTAAAATATCTTTCTGCTGTACACAGTACACGTAGTGTTTTATCGTAAATGTTAGAAATTCTATTCTGAGCAAAATCAAAATCAGGCTCAGCATGAGGTGGCTTTTTCAATTTTTCAAAAGACAGTTTTTTATTCCATGAACTTTCTCTTGATTTTTCATACATAGTCAACTCCCTATCGCGCATCTACACATCAATTTTGGTGTCATTTCTTTTTCTCTTCACTGTAAACAAGTCTTTTAATTATTTCGGGCAGGTTTGATTTGCGTTTAACCGGCGCCTGGAAGCGTTACGGTTCTTGTGAAATCAATGTAAAACTTCAAAATGATTTTTCAAATTCTTCTCATGAAATAAAACTTTTCGTGAAAACTTTCGACCAGCACAAATTCTGCTCTTTCTAGAGTACTAACGAACTTTCGGAGCAATCTGTTCTAACCACGAAATCGACCTACTTGAATTAATCGGTTCATTCTCAAATTATTTGTGTTTTTGGAGAAAACATGATAAAACAGCGAAATCAATTCTTCTTTCTTACAAAAAAAAAACAGTTAAGTGGTTCGTAACGCTTATGTTGCTGACAGTTTCGAACATTGCAAGGTTCCAGATTTTACCTTAATGCACTAGAATAGAGGAACCGGTTACAGTAGTCTTTTTTTTCCTTCAATCTCTGACAGCTGTTTCTAGAAAGTCGCCAAATTGCCATTACATAGGGTATGCTTTTTGCTGGGAACTGCAGATAAGTAAACATCGAGAAAGCAAGGAGTTATATGTCTTTTCATTCTCTTACTGACGTTGTCCTAGAAGCGGACTGGAAGAAATAGCTGGCTCAGAAAAGCGCGTGCTGTATGGACCTTCTACTTATGGGCAACTTGTACGTTTCATCAAAGCATGTCATGGAGATGCTACTGACAACGATCATACTTTGAGTAGGGTCCCAGCAATCGGATCGCGCAACCTGACCCAGGTGATTTCTTCTTTCGAAATAACTGAAGAAGTGAATACATGTATGTACTCGCCGCATGGTGATATTAAGATGAAGCTCACGCCATCGCAATATACGAGTACCAGTACGGACGAGAAAGGGAGAAATTTGATTCCAACAACGCATGTACCCGAATTTACGGGTGAAGAGAGAAGAGCGCATGGCAAGACATTTGTCGTTGCAGTGAGACTTTTATGACACCAAACTGTAAGTTCAGGACCATCCACCATCACATATGACCAGACACCACGTCATACTCCTACATCAAGAGGTATGTTCAGAAACGCCACTAATATTCTGCTTTTTTCGATTCTGTTTCAATTGTTTTAGATCTTATGTTATCTAAAGGTCCCTAGGTAAGGCTCAACAAGGAGGTACCAGTGGCGGCTCTAGACACACATCTTGACGAAAGATTCGAGCACGTTCTTTGCTCCCATCCAAGCATTCCAAGAGCATAAACTATCAAAACACTTCATCGCTGAGCTCAATCGCTTAGGGTATCTGGTAGCTAACATATAAATGCAAAAAATGCTTTAAAAAGAGAGGAGAGTAAAGAAAATGCGATCGTCGTGCGCATGTGATACTCGCGGCCGCCGCCATTGTCACGATCTCATGTATGACCTATGCGCTTTCTTTGCCGTTTTAGTTTACACTAGCTGGAAATCTCGGTTCTGTCAATAATTTTTTCGTAATCAGCATGCTCACTTACCCTCCCCTCCCCCCCCTGTGCCACCAGCAATCCTATAGCACAGAGTTTGCAAAAAATCGATAAAATCGATATTGGTCGATAACGAAAAGTAGCCTACGACACCCGCCTCGCCCCGAAGTGTATGTGTGCAAAGTTTGGTCCGGATCGGTTCAGAAATGGAATTTTCCATTTGAACATACGTACATACAGACATACAGACAAACCGACATTCAGCTTTAATTACTGTACAGATTGTATAAGCGCAGCATGGCAAACTCGTGCGTCACTTTCGTGATGATTTTCGGTAATTGGCCAAAGCTCCACCCTTTTCTAGGAACGACTACTCCAGCTTCAGCCAGAAGTACGACGAGCACGCCAACTACAGCCACAAGTACTACGAGCACATCAGCTACGACGAGAAGCAGGACGAGTGCGCCAGCTACAACGAGAAGCACGACGAGTAGGCCAGCTACAACAAGAAGCACGGCGAGTACGCCAACTACAGCCACAAGTACTACGAGCACGCCAGCTACGACGAGAAGCAGGACGAGTACGCCAGCTACAACGAGAAGCACGACGAGTAGACCAGCTACAACAAGAAGCACAACGAGTACGCAGATTACAGGCAGAAGTACGACTAGTACGCCAGTTACAGCTAGAAGCACAACAGGTACGACAGTCACAGCTAGAAGCACGACAGGCACACCAGCTACAACAAGAAGCACGACGGGTACGCCAGCTACAGCCAGAAATACTACGGGTACGCCAACTACAGCGAGAAGTACGACGGGTACACCAAATACTGCTGTAAGTGGGAAGGCCGGTGCACCAGGTATGGCCCCATCCGGATATGATACTGCGCTGAGCACGGATGATAATGCAGCAACAGGTATGTGTTAAAAGTTGATTACGTTTAAGTATACCAGGTATCGGATTATGCTGAATCAATCAAATTTCAACAGAAATTCACATTACAAGCCCGCAGGGCAGCCTCGTAGCTAACGAGGGTATCACGATGACGTCAAAAATGAGTGAGTTAGGTTAGGGTATAACGTCATCGTGCCCCTTCACATCCTCCATCGTCTTGTTCGAAAAAGCATGAACCCTGTAAACGCCTTCAGAGACCATCAGTGATTGCCTTTGCGGAGGCACATGAGTAGCAACTAGGAATGTTCTATTGGTAATGTGTGCTGAAGAACTGGCAGTATCTGCGGCTGCTGCGACGTGCCCCTAAGGTTCCGGACATACCTCTCGCGATTTCAGTCGTCACGCAATTTGGCCATTTGCCAGATCTCTTCAGACCCAACACTCGCAAACCAAAAGTGCTTGGTGTACTCAACTTTCGTGAGTCGACAAAATGTGCTATTTTCCGTGTGCTCAAATTGAGTTTGTGACGAGTTATAAGCAACCTGATTATTGCCTAGTGGTGTCACAACTGAAATCGCATGAGGTATACCCGGGGCCTAAAGCGTAGTTAGTGCACGACTTGTACAATGGGGACCTGTACTGGAACAAGCGTTTCGCTGCCCTCTGCAGTTGATAAATGAGTTTTACAGTTACAATCGCTTCATTTCATATGATCATGTGTGTCATTGCACACACAGTTCACCTTTGGCGTCCCCATCCTGGATTCGTGGGAGAAACAAGCCTTCAGGTAAGTGTTTCCAAGGTGTTCTTAGCATTTTCTTTCCTATTTAGTTAGTAGTCACCTCAAATTGATGTAATCGACAACAATCGGTAAGTCTCTTGCGTTTTTGCGATTGCAGATCCAGGATGAGGACGCCAAAGTGGACTGTGTGTGCAGTGGCACACATGATTTATGAAATGAAGCGACTGTATATAGTTTCTACTACTGGCTTACCCGGCTCGCATGCCAGCCAATGTGACCCAAAGTTAGGGGTGCTTACCCAAAAAATTTTGCGCGTATCGTGCACAATAGTTCACTCCACTAGATTCCAGTGCTTCAAAGCTGACTTTCCAGAGACTGCTCTGATTGACGATGTATTGAGTGAAGCAAACATCATGCCAGCCAGAACGCCTGCCGATAACCAGACTCGTGAGTTTATTGGATTATAATTTCTGCTCGACTACCAAATCCATTGATCTCCAGTGTAAAAACTGCATATAGTAAAATGATTTGAATTGTAGTTTGCTGGGTCATAAAAACGCGCAAGTGACTTGTTTGTTTTTGTAAACAATCAAAATAATTTTTAGAATTTTTTAAAGATTCAAACTAGCCTTATAAAAAATTTCTTGGCTGGCTCACGTTACGTCCCCTTTTTCCAGAGGGGTTGGGGCCCGCAAAAATTTTGAGAGGCAACCCTAAAATTTTTTCGGAGTGCGTGGCTAATGCCACTTTCATTTAAAATTTTTTTTGCCTCCCCCCCCCCGGGACGGAAATCTTGGGACCGCCACTAGTATGGCAACAAAAACTGAAAAAAGGGATCGTATCTGGGTCGCATCTGAATTTCTTCGGAGCTATTCAAGCTTAATCGCTGCAACTTTGCTGCATCATGGCGTCACCCTCCTACTTTCTATCGCGAGAACTCGAGCGGTTTAATTGCGTCTGCAGTGAGTGCAAATTTTCAAGCCAAGAAATTCTAGTTTTTGGTTTTTAGGATCATTTTGAGGATTAGGTTGTCTCATGAGATTTCTCAATTTTGTTTTTTTTTACCGGAATAAGTCTATACGAATTATTCTATTCGTATTCATTTGCCGCGCTCAAAGAACAGTGACCTAGCGCGGCCGATCAGCTGTGTTTCCCACAGCTTATGTTTATGCATTTGTTATCAGTTCGCTTATCAATAGATTCCTAGGCGTTTGTTTATGTTTCATGTATATATAAGCTGGGCATCATGCTAGCCATTTAGTTGTCTTAGTTTTATGGATCACTTATCTACTAACGCACAGAACTATCACAGGGTCACAGAAACATCACAGGGTCACAGAATAATCACAGCAACAAAGCACTGATAGAATGTTAACCTTTGTCTAACCCTAAGTAGTCGTATTATTAACATTATATTAGTATATTATTCATTATTATCCACTATTCGTAGTCGCATATGTAGTATTAGTAGTATTACAATAAAGGTTTAATTACCCAAGTTTGAGGTGTCGCAGTCTACTGTGCCCGCAAACCAACCACCGAAAGTCCCGCGTGGCAGAAAACACACAGAGTACTGAACCAAACCGTATAAGTGGTGCATCGGCCGGGAAGTCCCGCGTGGCAGCATACACAGAGTACTGAACCAAACCGTATAAGTTCCCCCCAAGAAAATAGTAATAATAAAAAACAAAACAAAAAAAGGGGGGGGGATAAGGCAGGGAAAACGCCGAAAGGGTCAGGGCCGCCTAAAACTAATTGCGAACAACAACAAAAAAAACAAAAAAAAATACAGCGAATAATCAGCAGAAATACCAGAAATACACAGAATAGAATAGAATAAAAGGAAAAAATTCACTCAAGCAAAGCTAGCTTGACGGCGATATCAAAACATAAACATCGCCGATTACTCCAGCGCGCAGGTGACATCGCGCCTACGGAGATGAAATATAGTGATAAACAAACACTAACGTACTCACAGACCACAATAACGTAAAAGCAAACCGTGTCACAGGGGCCTACACCCACCTCGACGGGGAGGCCGGAGGACACAGCACGGCTGTGATAGATTGGGCCGTAACGCTTCGATGATTTGCTGAACTAACATCTTGCAGAGATTCAAGATTCGGCAAGCATGTAACTCTCTCGATTATGAACGCAGCATCAGGGTGGCACAGTTCACCGTGAACACAGCTCTTGTTAACTCCCTTATTAACAGCTTTTTTAACAGGGAAACATGGAACAGTGGCCTCCTGAGAAACACGCAGAGCTCCAACGAAGAGTGAAGGAGGAATTTGAGAGAAAGACCTTTATAATTGAAGCGTCGCCATCGAAATACACAGAAGCACAGATCCGGCAAAAAATAAAGTTCAACGGCGACAAGTGCAACGAATTCGATGATCGACTGGAACAGGCAAAGTTAGACCTTATTGCGTTGAAACAAAGGAGATGGGAAACGTCCTATACAACATCGGAATCGTTGCGATACATACTGGAATTCAAGGAACTGCGGGCGCGGCATATCGAGGAGAAAGGAGAGTTGAATTCGTGGTCAGACCAACTACTCCTAGCCCATGAATGGTATGAAATTTTAGTAGCGGCGGACGAAGCTGAAGAAATCGACAGAGTCATGTTCTTAAACGAATTGGAAGAAACAGTGGTTCAGGTGCCTACACGACCCGGAGAACTTGGTTACCCTGAACCGAAACAGGTCTTACGGATGTACAAAAAGGACACCATAGGACCAATCCTGCACAGAATTCGCACAGGATACAATACCCTCCTAGACGACGAAGCCAAGGAAATCTATGAGGTCGAACAAGAAATTAGGAGGGGCAACAAAGCGAGTGCCGTCTACTCAAGGAAATGTACGGCGCCCTCACAGGACTGGAAACGGAGCTGCAGCACCAACGAGAAGCCCGGGAGTGGTCTCAAGAAAAGACTTCAAACTGGGAATACTGCAACTCAGGGCGTCGATAGACGACCTTCGAGAGGAAGTAATGCGTCAAAGGCATGACTCTGACAGAAACACCAGGCAGGGAAAGGATAACTCTTCTAAGGAAGTCGACGAGTCCATTGCACAGCTTAGACTCGAGATGCGCCAACAGCAGCCGAGGATGGTTCGAAACACTATACGAGGACGTGAAAGAGATAGTGGCACAAGAGAGAAACAAAGCCACTCAGATGATAAATGAAGAAATCCGAGCACATCGCGGATATCTTCACCAGGAGACGTCGCGCCTAGAATTACAATTTGTCGGCTTGGCTTCACAGATCAAAGAGGAGGCTGAACGTAGGAGCAAGGAAGCCACCAAGATGTTGAAACGAATCGAGGAGAAAATAACGAAAGCGAAGGTAAGGCATACCACAGAGGAATCACAGAGGGATAGCAGCAGTGACGCAAGGAACCAGCCCATCAACACAGCTCGTAAACGTTCCACACGCGCTTCCAAGAGCAAAGCTCGCGAGGATGACACGGATGAACAGGAGGAGGCACAGGAACAGAGAGAGGCTCCAAAAAGAAAACGACCAACTCCGGAAACGACAACTCGCGCGGATACACAGAAACTCGACGAGCTCATTAAAGAGTACACACAGGAACGGGAAAGACTTCAGCATCAGATACAGTCGTTGTCGTGCCCCGAAAGACTACTAGGCGACAAGGGCAACGGAAATGGACTCCCAATGTGTGTGTTCTGCAAGCAGTATGGAAGTCACTACTCAGACGCCTGTCCCCGAGTGACGGCTATCAAGGACCGAGTGGCTCTACTGGATAACGAACACAGATGTCACCGCTGCCTCGATCGACATAGCTACGGATGCATCAGACGGAGTTGCTGCTTCTACTGAAAAAACAGCGAACAAGGAGCGACAAACGACCACCACGCCGCTATCTGCACCCTACCAGATGAAGTACAGCGCTTACGTCTACGCGACGAAGAAATCCAGGCACGGATTGAGGACTGCAAAAGAGAATTGGAGAAAATCGAAGGGGGAAGAACGATGGATCACAGCGAATCAAGTCACAGCAAGGAGGATCCTGGTCCTTTCTCTCGACGCTGAGGCCGGAGTATACGAATTATTCTATTCGTATTCATTTGCCGCGCTCAAAGAACAGTGACCTAGCGCGGCCGATCAGCTGTGTTTCCCACAGCTTATGTTTATGCATTTGTTATCAGTTCGCTTATCAATAGATTCCTAGGCGTTTGTTTATGTTTCATGTATATATAAGCTGGGCATCATGCTAGCCATTTAGTTGTCTTAGTTTTATGGATCACTTATCTACTAACGCACAGAACTATCACAGGGTCACAGAAACATCACAGGGTCACAGAATAATCACAGCAACAAAGCACTGATAGAATGTTAACCTTTGTCTAACCCTAAGTAGTCGTATTATTAACATTATATTAGTATATTATTCATTATTATCCACTATTCGTAGTCGCATATGTAGTATTAGTAGTATTACAATAAAGGTTTAATTACCCAAGTTTGAGGTGTCGCAGTCTACTGTGCCCGCAAACCAACCACCGAAAGTCCCGCGTGGCAGAAAACACACAGAGTACTGAACCAAACCGTATAAAGTCATACACTTGTCAGATCTAATCAGGGCATAGTGTATTATTCATTAGAGCAAAGCAAGCTCTATAAGATAACCTGTAAATTTTGCACCAGCTTCATTACACCACAAGTTAAAAGCCGAAATATAAGAAGTATATGATCGATCTGGGTGCCCGAAAAACTGAAAACCATTTATAGCTTCGTTCAAGGAAAGCTTATCGGATCTCCCACTTGTTCATGCATATGCACTTCACATAATAACACATTCATTTATGCCATTGACTAGCTGTATCTGTGCTAGAAGCCGAGAAAACTTAAAATTTGAAGCTTCCAAAAAAGCGATGCTGTGCTGTTACCACATAAGTAAATGCAATTTTTAAGAATTAAGAAATACTATTGCATTATCAGCTTCCTAGAAGCTGTAGTTTTCAAAAATATCGAACTTAACCTTTCTTGCCAGCTTCTTTTATGTGAAAATCAATATTTCTCAGGAACTAGAGCTTCTAGAAAGCTGGAAATCTGCGGTTGCACTTTTAAAGACTTAGGCCCGTATGCACGTAATTACATCCCCGCTAGGGAGGGGAGGGGATCTGAGAAGGGACGCGCCATATCTCGCTACTCTAGGTATCTTACTTCTTTCTTCTCTATCTTGCTTATGAAGGTTCTCATACCCTAATCCTGCGCATAATTGATGCCAGGTTACTGCCATACAAGATTGGTTTTTTGATGTTTTGTGTGATCCCCTAGGGATCCCCGGAGGATCACCTCTCATTTTCAGAGTCATTTATCCTCCAGAGAAGTCAATGAAAATGCTGCAAAATTGCACTGAGGATATACTAAGTCACTTCTAAACATATTTATAGAATAAATAAGCAAAATCTCAGGATGTCGAAAGTTTCGATGAACCACTGCTCGCGAGCTAGGGATTATCGAAAAATTCACAATCTTCAGATTTCTCCTGTCGAAAACATTATTAGCAGTGCCGTAGTATATCCTCAGTACGACTTTGCAGCGTTTTCAGACTTCTCAGGAAGATAAATCACTCTGAAAATGAGAGGTGATCCCTTGAGGATCCTCAGGGGATCCCTAGAGGACCACACAAAATGGCAAAAAACCAATCTTGTATGGAAGTTACCTGGCTCCATTATGCACAGATATAAGTGTATGAAAACCTTCATAAGTAAGAGAGAGGAAGAAGAACAAGGATGCGTAGAGCAGCGAGATATAATGCATCCCTTCTATCCCCTCTCAGATCCCCTCCTCTCCCCAGCGGGGATGTACGTGCATACGGGCCTCATAGTGTACATTTACTTATGTGGGAGACAAGCCGTAATCAAACACAGCAACGGCATATATGAATGTGCCATGTGGGATCTATGTGCATGAGCAAATGGAAGATCCGGTGAGTTTTCTTGAACGAAGGCATGATTGGTTTTCAATTTTTTGAGCACCCAAAACTTCATATTCGATTTCTAACTCGAGGTGTACTAAAGCTGGTGCGAACATTTACACGTTTTCTTAGAGTTTGATTTGCTCTGTACCTTGAATTCTGATTAGGACTGAGAAGTGCATGACTCAATGCGATATAAAAGCAAATTTGGAAAAACTTACGAGACAACCTGATAAATTTGCTAAAGCCACATTTGAATTTTTTAAGCTCGCTGCTCTTGAATGGCCGCAACTTTTTTCTTCAGTTGTCAGGGCACTCCACTACAACTTGTTCATTGTAGCCTCTCAGCTTTTCCCTCGCTTTACTTACAAAGTTAAAAAGTGCCGTGCTGATGCACGATTTTAACATCGTCCTGAAGACGCTAAAATGGTTTTATCGAAGGAAAATCTATGCAGAAAATAGAAAATAAGTTTTTCACTCGCAGACATTGTTACTCGCAAAGAATATCAATTTTCTACCTGCAAAAATGGTGTCGGAGACGGGGATTGAACCTGAACCTAAGAATATCGTGCCATAATGAATGTTTTTCATTACATTCACTGTAAGATCAATGAGTTATGCCAAACGCTCATGAGTCCCAAAAGAATTTCTTGTCTGTCTAGAAAATAAGTTGCCAAAAATTAGTCAAATATAACGACTGAAGTTGTCCTGTCCTCAGTTTTTCTTAAATGTTTTTTTTTGTTTCAGTTCATGTTTATAATCTAGTGTCTAGGCAAGCTACAGTTTGGATGTCGGCATCAGACTGAAATTGACGTCCTCCTTCGTCAAGAACATCTATTGTTTCGTTTTTTTTCATTTTTCCAATCAAGCATTACACGCATTTCTCCTAACTTGTAAGCAGATTTCTCTTCCTCTACTTACAATAGGTAAAGTGAGGGAGGGGTCGCATGTATGGGTGCCTCTAAGGGGGGGGGGGGGTCGTATGAGAGTTCCCGGATCGCATCAAAACGCTTGACCCTGGTCGCGACATAGGCCCTGTGTTTGTAGCTGTCGTGTGCTGGTACAGCTCTGCGTAGTGCTGGAACTAGTCGGAAGGTCAAAGCTTTATCGTGTCCCTCCTGGCTCTTCTTGTGAGTGTGGTCGGAATGTGATGCACCACTGCTTTTGAATTCTCCAGTTTTTTGCACCGTTTTTTTGAACCAGTGATTGTGACTTTCTCGTAAAATTTTTCTTATGCACATTTCATAACGACGTTGAAAGCTTCAATATCGTAATGCCACAGTAATGGCAGCGTGATCTTCCAATTTTCAAAGTCTTGGCTCTCCATACGAATCCTTGTGCCTAGCAGAGGAAGGCAAGAAAGAGAATCCGCTAATCAATATGTATACCAGCCTAGCAGTGGCGGTTCCAGGATTTAGGTTCGGAAGGGGGGGGGGGTCAAAAATTTTCCAACTAAAAGTGGTGACGTTAGCTACGCGCCAGGTTTTTGGGCTACTTCTTGAAATTTTGTGGGCCCATAACCCCAAGATTCTAGGAAAAGGGGAAAATTTTTCCTCGAAATTTTTTTTTGTAAGGAGTTAATTTTTAAAAATTTTCAGTTATTACTTTAACCTTTTACAAGTATAAAGAAGCCACTTGCGCATTTTTATAGTCTCGGTCCGCCGCTGCAGTCTAGTGTGAATTTGAGAAAAATTTTACCTTTGGTTATTATATCAAATATCTCCAAAATCGTGAACTTTGAAAGCCAATGCTTTTAATTCAAATTTTTTTGTGCACATGATTTTGCCTTTTGCCATTCCAGTGGTAAACAAAGATGGAAAAAAGAGGGGAGCGTGATGGCACAGACAAATTCGCCATTTACCTTGCAAAGTATTTGTTTCAACAACGTAGTACTGACTCAGGGTTCAGCAGAAGTTCAGTAGAAACTGTACTTATTATATTTGGAGGTTCTTCAAAATGTCCAACAAACTTCGCCTACTCTTCGGACCCTTCTCTCTGAAACACTATTTCAGAACCGAAATGCCGATTCGATATTGTGTTAGTGTTTGACTCGTCGAGCTCTCCTCCAAAAGGATTCCAGGAGCAACTAGATGCCGCCGGCCGTGTGGTAGACACGTTCGACGTCGGCCCTAATGCCACTCAGGTTGCCTGTTTTTATTGAAAACGAGATCTATGAAACCGAAAACTGTGTTATTTGGGGATGAAGGCATAACTCATTCATAGTGTGTCAGCCTAATAGTCTTCGATTTAGTAAAGGGTTCCTTGTGCTTAGGCAACTCAGTCGAGTGACTGATTATCAGTGATCTGTACTCTGACTTGTGACTCCAGGAGCCGAGTTGTTAAGAACAGAATTTCAGCATTGTAGTGAGTGGGAGATAGTGTATTTGGATTATATGACAAGAGGGCAGAGGAGGACTTTCTCTGAGACTGGCTTTCCCACTGTGTTAAAATGTCGAATGCACTTCTTTCAAACCTTAGATCAATGCCCTAAGCGTATCCTTACAAAAGAGATGTTTTCTAGGTAGCAGCTGTCGAATTCGCTGGCGATAGGAAAAACGTGCTCTTCGGTTTCACGTCCGGCATACTACTTTTGTTTTTCTCTGCTTTTCTAATTTTAATCCCATTTCAGGGACTCACCTGACAAACTGAGTACAAAGAAGAAATTAGCCAGCACAAAATACCAAGGAGGAAAGCCACATACGAATGAAGCTCTCTTGAAGTCCGCCGACATGATTAGGGTAGGCACATGTCAGTTGCCAACACAAGAGTAGCAATAGTTGAAGGGTCTAATATGTCATCATTCGCTCTTGAGTAATCGCGAAAGTGCACCTTTTGAGGCATTATCATCTTTTCCCAGTGTAGCACAAACATGATATCCTCTGCTACTATATGAAGGATGACGTGATCATCAATTTGGGAATATCCGATAACTTATAGACATTCATCTTCACCTAAAAATTGTGATCTTCTAATGATCATGGCAGATGAAGTTATAACCTTCCTATGCCCTAAAGTATATCACTTCCAAAGGTAATCTGTTAAGGGAGATACCCGCGCACCGAAACCGAAGTCCATAGTCGTTGTATTCACAACTGGAGATAGTAAAGAAGACCCTAGCAGAGGTAAGTATTGGCGGCATCAGGCATTCGATGTTATAAGATGCTCCAAAAAAGTTTTTACCTTGCATCGATCATTCAGGTGCGGAGCAACTGAGAAGAGTTGGTGCTACCATCTATGTCCTTGCCGACGATAATGGACAGAAAAACAGAGTCGAACTTGAGGTGAAGTCAGTCATCGAATAGGCGGCACACAAGGGAAGTGTTTTCAGTCAAAATGGCCTTTTCACATGAAATCGTTACGTAAAGAACACTGAACGAGATTCCAATTGAATCTTCAACATTTGCTAAGCCCCTTGGACGTCGAGTTATGAACATTTCTTGAGTCAAAAAAACGCGCAGATGGAACAAAATTGCTCAAAAGGTCAACTGCTGGATATCGAAAATCTCAGGCAATGAATGCATTCTGTCTAGTACACCTCATACTCCAAACTGTTCCACCTGAGCGCTGGAAAGACTGCAATAATTGGTTCTACCTAGATTCTGCGTTCATTTCTAGCTTCATACACTCATAACTTAGCGTCTAGAACTGCTTGGCACATGCTGAAAATAGATTTGGAACAAGTATTCAGTGCTCTTAAAGTGATGGAGGACCCCTTTGGAAAGGCCAGACTAAGCACTTCCCTCGTCAGCAGCATGGAAAGGGTCTTAAAAAATTATCGGCTGTTCCACGGAACATAGTTGTCACCTCAAGACAATCTACTACTTACACTAGATCGGGTATGTTAAAGGCAGTGGATCAGCAGAATAAATCCCGTGGCAAAACAAGGTCACAGGGTAGGAACCCCCATAACGGAACCTATCAACCAAAATCCCATCTTTCTCTGCCACTTCTAACCCCCGAAATTTCAACGCGAAAGCAGCGCTCATCTCCTCTCCTCTCCGACCCCGCCCACCCTACGGACGAGTGACTTCCGCGGTCAGAGCGCCAGCCGCAATGCTATAAGCATGAGGTCCTGCAACGACTCTGCGTCTTCGCCATGACGGGCTTCGCGTTCACTCGTCCTTGGGGTGGGCGGGGTCGGAGAGGAGAGGAGATGAGCGCTGCTTTCGCTTTGAAATTTCGGGGGTTAGAAGTGGCAGAGAAAGATCGAACTTTGGCCCATAGGTTCCATTGTGTGGGTTCCTACCCTGTGACCTTGTTTTGCCATGGGTCTCGTTCTGCAGATCCACTGCCTTTAAGGGCCAACAAAATGCAAGATATTACCACAGAATTTTGACGTCAAAATATCTAAAAGCAAAGCCAAATGTTGTCGGTTCCCAGTTGTTTGTAGACTTCTTATGCCGTTTTTTTGTTTTTGTGCAGAGAGTCATCAAAATGAGCCCCCTAGAAACTGCAGGGACGGGAGGGGGGGGGGGGGAAGGGTGTACTCATTGGCACGATGTCGAGACTAGCGCAAAAACAACAAGTTAGAAGCTAGGTACAATAGAACAGAAAGATGCAGAATAATGCTCTTATACTCCAACGATAATATAACCTTCAAATGGGCTTAGAATTTTCTCAAGAAAAGAGGTGGTCATTAGATAGCTTTCGTCTTACTATCAAATGCACTGCAAATTGCCTTACCTTTAAATCAATCATAAGCTTTTTCGTGGGAATCCCGGTCACACATTTAGAACGCCTATAAACACTAGCAGGCATTTATTCCATTTTGTTATACCTCTAAATTCACATATTGTTCCAGTTGATAGCAGGAAGCCCCTCTCGTGTCTACATCACCTCTAAGGTATCAGCGCTTGTGGACGAGCTTCATACAGTACAATTGATATGTTAAAGATAAACTAGGCTTTCATAAAATGCATCTCACTGACCCGTTGCATATTCCTACATGAAATGATTGTATTAGTTGATGTTTCCAAAATGTGCCATTCTGCTCTTGTTCGTTATGAAATTGATCTGTTTAACAGATTTTGATAAATAAAAGCGATTTGAAATGGACAAATGCAGGAAAAAAAACAATTTAGTGGAAACGTTTTGAGGTCTTACTGTCTTGTCATTGCACATCTCTATATATATAAAGCAGAAAATCTATGTGTTTGTGTGTCTGTGCACATTTCCCATAGCCATGAAAGATGAGCGGTGAAGTTCATTTTGTTCTGATGGTCATCAAGATGTGGTAAGGACGGTAGGAAGCGAGCCCAAGAGAGTCGGAATAAAAGAAGGGTAAGTTTCTACAAGAGAGATCAAGCACGATGGAGGCTCCAGAACAGGGTGGAACCCGTTCTGGCAACAGCCATTTGTTTAGTTTAGTCTTGCATTCAAATAGTAGCCTGTTTATCAATCGTGTGTTCGTCTAGGTGGCCGCTTATATGCCTGCATAATAAAGTCCAGCCTGCCTCTAAATTCGGGCTGGCTATAGCACAGCTAACTCACGAAAGCACAATTAGTACCCAAACTGAACAAGACATTCTTGAAAATTGCGTACGTTTTTTCCTCACGAGTAAAGAAACAGATGAGTTAGCATGGTTTTCGTGAAAAAGCAGCAAAGACATTGGGAACTTTTGAAGGCACTCCAGGCAAATCTGCGCTTTTGGGGATCTCACTTGGAGGGTAATCTTGGAGCCATAACTAAAACAATGCCCAAGCGGCAGCTCAAATGGTGAACTCACAGTTGAGATATTCGCCTCCAAACTGGACCCCCGGATCGTATTCGCATGGAATGGCGCGACACGTCAGTCTCGCGCGAGGACCACGAGTGTCGCGCCACGAATTCATGTGAATACGATCCCGGGGTCCAGTTTGGAGGCGAATATCTTAACTGTGAGTTCACCATTTGAGCTGCCGCTTGGGCAGTGTCTTAGTTAGGGCCCCAAAATTACTTTCCACATCAGAACCCCGTTTGTCCAGATTTCCTGGACGCTGCCTTTGAGGCTTCTGTCATTGATCTTACACTAGCAACATTTGGTTAACTCTTGCGTTTTACTTCTTTTTTCCCTCTGCACCATATAATGTACCAGTGCGCCACCTCTGCTTCGCAGAGGCTCGCACTGGTCTCACTATCTGTATGCCTTACTGATTCCCGCAATAATGACATTGAAATTCACCGCGCTATGCAGACTATCATGAATGATTCGTAAACAACTACTCATTTCTAAAACTTTTTCATTTGAGATCGGTAATTTCCCGTGGATGAAACTCTCCCCAGAAGAACAAATGCAAATTAAATCGGTTTTTGGACTTTTCATGGCTTGGTAGTCGCCTTGAGGACAGTGGTCACCGTGGGCCATGGCTTGGTAGTCGCCTTGAGGACAGTGGTCACCGTGGGCCACATCTCTGTGCAAAAATTTTCACAAAAGATCAGGTAAACTCTTGGCAAATTAAAGTTTACACAATCAATTCTTTTTGGCGCCCCATTCGTAAAGTAATAAACTTTTATTCACTTTTTTTGGGCTAAGGTCCATGATTTGCACATTAGCTTGTCAAACGTACTCATGACTTTGCAAAAGGTGCTGCTACATGCACAGTTTTGCTGGCCAGAAGTTAAGCGGATCCGTTTGAAACGCAATATTTGAGGGATCCATTCAACGGATCCGCTCATGCTTTTGCATAGTGGACTTTCATGCTGGTAGCATACGCCGTGCAAAATTTGGGCTCAGGACATTGGCTGAAACATGCTCTATGAATTTCGTAACGGACAGACAGACACACACACACACACACACACACACACACACACACACACACACACACACACACACACACACACACACACACACACACACACACACACACACACACACACACACACACACACACACACACACACACACACACACACACACACACACACACACACACACACACACACACACACACACACACACACACACACACACACACACACACACACACACACACACACACACACACACACACACACACACACACACACACACACACACACACACACACACACACACACACACACACACACACACACACACACACACACACACACACACACACACACACACACACACACACACACACACACACACACACACACACACACACACACACACACACACACACACACACACACACACACACACACACACACACACACACACACACACACACACACACACACACACACACACACACACACACACACACACACACACACACACACACACACACACACACACACACACACACACACACACACACACACACACACACACACACACACACACACACACACACACACACACACACACACACACACACACACACACACACACACACACACACACACACACACACACACACACACACACACACACACACACAGACAAAAAGACGTAAACAACCCTTAGCCCGTTATTATAAGTCATGATAGTAAGATTGTTTTGTTTTTAGCACGACATTCTTTGTTACAATTCATCAAATAACGTTCCTTCATTTGCGCATATCCAACTTTTTCTCGACAATGTTTCTATTTCACAAAAAATGCATTGCAAAGAACTTGGTATCATCGACCAATCGATGATTCCTGATACCCGTGCCAAATGACGTCATAGCCGAGTGGGCGGGCCATGTCTGCCATGCGTCCACCTGGGAGGTCTCACCTCACTCTTGATCGCACGTTGACCACCCAAGGTCACAATCTCACGCTCTCGGTTACAGTAATCCTAATAAACCACTGAACCACCATTCTTATTGTCTATTTCACCGTAATACATTGCATACCGAGGCAAACCCCTCGAAGAGTCTACACCCGCTAATAGCTTGGTGCATCGGCCAAAGTAGCCAATTCTTCCCGCAACAGAGTGTCACAACTCTGTCTGCCTGGAAAAGAGACTAGCTCCTCGAGCAATTTCACACTCCCGTGCCCAGCACCTGGAGTTACTCCTGTACTAAACGTACCTGGAGACCTTTGCACATTACTGCAAACTCACTCCCGTGCCCTGCACCTGGGAAACTCCTGTACCTACGTACTTGGAGCAGATCACTGTAGATCAAACAACAGCTGATCAGATTTTTGCGCATTTTTGACACAGATTACCGATTTAAACGCTACAAGCTAAGCAATCGGAATGTCTCTTTTTTGCTACAAAGAGCCAATTTTGATGAGCACAAACTCGCTCAAGAATTTGGTAGTTGCATACAATGAGTATACGCCACAAAAAACTTATTCTACCATAAATGAGGAAACCTGTACAGAGTGTGAGAAAAGAATTGCCCTTCTACAAAGTGGCATCAAATTACTGCAACAGGGAAGAGAAGATTTGCAGAAAATGTACGATGCAATCATGGAAGAGTACAAAAATTGCAAAAGTAGATCCGATAAAAAAGAGTTGCAAACCGAAATCGAACAGATAGTTGGAGAAACACAACTACACGTGACTATGGCAAAAGCAAACGATCTAATCTTCATATTACGTGGCCGATTAGACAAAATATATGCGACAGAAGCATAATACAGGCTAAAATTGGGCAAGTCAGCCAAAAATTACAAGTCGTGACCACTGTCACAGATGAGATAGAAACCCTGAGCATAGAAAATCAAGAGTCTGAGCAAAACGGGATACAAAACGATGCTGGAACGAGTACTCCAGGCACGGCAAATCCTAACTCATACAGTTCTGAGCAAAATTACACAGAACAAAGCCATTGGCGATCAATTAAGCCGCCGCAAGCAACTTTGCCAGAGTTCAACGGCGACCCAGAAGAGTTTGCGGAATACTGGGCTGTTTTTGAAACGCTAGTTCACAAATCTAGAGAAGTGGGCATTCCGGAAAAGATCATGCTGCTCAAGCAAAGTCTTCGCGGGCGAGCGCAACTTGCCATAAAGGGCATAAAACTTATTCCAGAGAACTACAACTGGATAATTAAAACCTTGCAGGAAAAATACTGCGATCAACCAACTAATAGATCACAAATAGTGCAAAAATTGCTTAATTTGAGTCCTGCAAACAATGCTGCGGACAGCTGCTCCTCAGTTTTCGACGAAATTCAAGTTTTAGTCAATCAAATGACGTCTACTGGGTATGATGTATCGATTACTGACGACCCCATGTGGTATGAGACCATTATCGCCAAGTTCCCACAAGGCATCGTAAAGTCTGTTCTGATCTCTGGCCAAATGCTAGACAAACAAACAATTGGTGATCTTCTGGCGCAATTGAAGAAAGAGATTGCCGCCAAGTGCTTCGTCGAAAAAAGATTAAGCCATAACGTATGCAATAAGGTCAGCACTTCTAGAGATAAGCATGTCAATCAACGACCTCATGCTGCAGACAAGTGCATATTCTGCCATAGAAATAACCACGCATCAATGTCGTGTCGAACGATAACAGATCAAAACACTCGCCGCAAAATACTAAGAGACGAGAATAGGTGCTGGAAATGCTACTCTCCAGGACATACTAGTTATGACTGTAGCAAGTTAGACTGTCCACTCTGTGGTCAGAAACATCACTCCAGTTTGTGTTTCAAGAGGGAAACAAATCAACAAAAGCCTCAAAATCAAGCAAATTGGAATCATAATCGCCGGAATCCGGCTCAAAATAACTCGAGACCGGCTTTCCAAAACAATCGTGGTCAACGATTCTTGGCAGATAATACCGAAGTCAACAGAGTGGCTTACAACAACACCCATACGGGTGCAAAACTTTCACAATCTTCAGATTTGAAGGCTGGTACAAACAAACAGCTCGTACTAATGACAGCCGAAGGTAACATTTGGAATGTCCGAAGGCAGCAGTTTGAAAAAGTGCTATTTTTCTTCGACTCCGGTGCACAAAAAACGGTGATTGAGGAAAAATTAGTAGATCACTTCGGACTACCGCAACAAACTACGGAAATCTGTACCATGTCGGGTATTGGCGGTCACACCGAAACTTTTAAGAGTCACGTCATACCGTTAAGAGTCGGGACCGCTTTCGGCGAGGAACTTGAAATT